CTATTCTATGGCAAACATTAGTGAACATTCTTTTGAGTGAGCATGAGGCTTTTTTTTCGATCGATTATTGTTATCAACAGTACAAAAATACACGAACATACCAAGGTTACATAGCAAGTATAGGACAACATTCATATGAAAATGGAAGATAACATAGAAGGCATGAAGGATGAGCCTATTCCCAATTTGAAGATTGTAATTCTAGGAGATCTGGGTGTTGGTAAAACTTGTTTGAGGTCTCAATTCATATATCATATATTTACGAATGCCTATAAGGCAACGATAGGAGGAGATTATCTTACGACTACGGTGGTAATACCGAGAGAAGAGACAGATCATGGGAGTCAAAGAATTGAACACGGTACAGAAATTGAAGATGAGCATAATAGTAGCGAAAATACATTGGCAGGATGTAAAAGCATTCCAGAGAAGGTAAATTTACAGATATGGGACACAGCAGGACAGGAGAGATTTAATTCGATCTCGCAGGCATTTTATAGAGGTACCGATGTAGCTATACTAGTGTACGATATTACGGACTATGAGTCTGTGCTAAGTCTTCGGGGATGGTTTGAACGATTCATAGAGCACAGCCATGTTGAACGGCCTGGAGTCATGATAATTGGCAATAAGATAGATAAGGAGAGCGAACGGTGTGTGGATAGAGATGAAATACGAGAAATTCTCAACAAAAATACGGATGTAAGTATTGATAACTATGTACGAGATTGGGACGCAGATTTGCTAGAGGTGAGCTGCAAGAAACGAGACTTGGTGGACAAGTTGTTTGAACGGGCAGCTCAGTTAGGTGTCGAGATACTGACCAACTCGGGTGACAAAAATGCTAAGAATATGCTAAGTTTTGATAGCATTGACCTTCAGCAGGGAATAAGTCGTGCTTCTTCTTCTTCTCGGTGCTCATGCTAGCGATATAGCTTAATAATATTTATTGAATATAATAATAAAATAATGCTCATTGTAATAGCTATGTACAGATATAATTACAAACGACATGTGGAATACGTCTACGGGCTGGCTGCTTATTTGGAGTTAGCATCTTCGGCCTCAGCTTTTGCCTTCACTACTTTGGTTGCATCGTCAGCAACAGTCTCGGCTGATTGCTCTGAAGCATCTCCTTTCTTTTCATTGACATCAACCAATGGTTCTTGTTCTTCGTCGTCATATAATTCTTCTTTATAGTGTTCTGGGTGTTCTCTGAAACAATTTCTCATGTTTTCGAACTTCTTGATACATTCAATACCCTTTGGTTCTGCTTCAGAGTAGATGAAGCACGAGAAAGCTTCCTTGAATTCTTCACCACATGGTCCGTGCGCCATACCTCCTAAACAAGGACAATCCCAATTGATTTCCCCGGTTTCTGGGTTGTAAGCAGCGCCTTCGTAAGATTCTTCTCCATCTTTTTGGCTCTCTTCTTCCACTTCGGTTCTGGTTTCAGGATTAGCTTCTTCTGCAGGAACCTTTGTTTTAACTTCACCTTTACCAATGGCTTTCTTCTCAGCATCTTCGGCGATTTCCTTCTTTCCCGTAGCTTCTGCCTTTTCTTTACCTTCTTCGACCTTCTTCTCGTCAACTTCATTTGCAATATGGCTACCATTCAAGTAGTTAATTGACATAATGGTTGGAACTAAGGCAATACCGGCACCTAAGTACAAGTTGGTTTTAGAAGCTCTTGCAGCTCTAAATCCTTGGTTTGAAAAGGATCTCTTGGAAAATGTTTGGGTACTTTGAGCGAAAACTCTTCTAGCAGCGAATCTATACATTATTCTAATCTTTAAAGTGGTCTATCTATAAGATATAGTACCGAATATAAGGTTAATTTGCCATTTATATGGAAATTTTTCAGATGACTAAGCGCGGATTATATACACTCTGGATACTGTTATATGGAGTTAGACCAGTTGCAAAATATCCCTTCATCGGTATATCCTTAGGGGTATTGTAGATCAGACTGTCATAAATATGATACTACAACTGGATATAGGCTTAAAGGCAGAAAAAATGCAATAATTCGTTTTGTTTTCGGGTTTTTTATAAAGGTTCTTAAATCACCGTCATAATTAAGACAATAATTGCTTCCATTTCATTGATCAAGTCCAACACAAATCCAGGTTACAGAAATTGCCCAGGCTATAGGTGACATATGGTGCTGATGTGTATTCATTCTCCGGATAAATCCGAGATAGACAATATTATTTAATTATGTACAAGTGGAAATGGATGTCGAGCTAGTCATTATTTTGAGATAATTTGAACAAATGCTTATCAACCTTATAATTGATTCAGTGAATAAGAAGTACCCTAGGTATCTCTTACATCTTTGCTTAAGTCTGGTAATGGCAAGGGTTCACTGACAGGATTATCAACAAGTGTACTAGCCCAGAGAATCAGGCATAATACAACAATCACGGAAACCCCTCCGATCTTACGAAGAATCTTCAAAGTAATCTCTGATTCTCTTGTGCTCTCTTCTCCAAATCTATTTATTCGTTTGTTTAGTTGTTTAAGGCTAGTCTTGATAGAATATGCCCTGACACCCTGACTTAAGTGCAACGAAATTAACCCATTTTTGTAAGCTCCCAACGATTTCAATGCTATGCTTCTAGTGGCTGGTATCATTATTATCTTCTATGAATCAAAATCAAGCGTTTCTCAAATATATGCTTTGATTTTCATTGATGTGTCTTCTTAATTATCACTACTACCTTTGAAAAATTGAGCACTAAACAGGTTTTCGCACAACCTTTTGATAGTTCCATATATGGAAGCAAATGAATAGAATGATTATAATGCTTGGCTTATTTAAACAAATAGATGATTGTTATTCTTCTTGCATTGGTATTTAGAAATACTTAGTCAAATCATCAAGACTAATTGGTTGGTAGTCACTCTTTTCATTATCTTTAATGTTTGTAGATATCCATAAAACATCATCTTGAATATACGACGAGTACTTCTTTCCTGATTTAGATTCTAGTCTATATAATGGAAGACCTAATTCAGGGTGATGCTTGTTCTTAATTGTTGAGAATAAAATATCATTCAGCATGCAGTAAGATACAACAATATCCTTAAAAGTCGTCATTAATTGATAAGATGGAATCCCTTCGACATTAACAGTAGAAGTTTCTGTATTTATTGGCTTATTTGCATTTTCATTTACTATCAATTCATAGATCTTTTTGTTGGTTGGAAATGAGTTATTTTCAAAAGAAGGTAGCCTCGGTAACGATGATTGCTTATCATTCACGACATCTTTAATAATTTGCAAAGCAGTATTGAAATACCAGTCAACCATACGAATTACTAATGATGTAATATTGTATTCCTTGACCAAATTGTAAAACCAGTCGTACCACATTCTATACCACTGTGATATTTGTAAACTGCTGTAGTTAATCTGTTGCAACCACAGAACTAGGGTCTTGATCCAGGGGTTAAAGAATTTGAATTGCAAAAGAGCTATTGTTTGTTGTTCATTCATTAATTGACATTGCTTGAACTTGAAAATCAACAGAAAAACAAGCTCTAGTTTTGTAAATTCTAATTTAGATCCAAGCCATGAAAATTCCTCATGAGTAGACATGAAAGTGCAAAAGGACATCTTCAATGCATTCTGGATATCTGAGCCCAGTTTCTCGCCTAGTATCTCATCGAAAATTATAATCCAAACATCCAATAAGAGTGTCAACTCTGCAACTATGCTTCCCTCGTAATACACGCTGCTTTTTTCGGTACTCAAATATTCTTCCCAGAATGAACTTCCACTTCCATGCATTACAAAATTTAAGTATTTCTCCGAAACGGTCTGAATCAACGTCTTTCCTATTGTCAGTGACTCATCTGATGATAACAAAGAAATATACTCCATGATAAAATTATGAGGTGACTTATTTGGATCTTTTCCAGGTAACCATAGTTCCAATTTTTTATTAAGAAATGGCAATATCACTTCGTTAGCTAAATTATTGGATATAGCCAAGGTTGGGTTTATCAAGACAGGAGCGTTTATCCATATATGCAAAAGATCCATAAGAAGAGCGTGTACCTCATCGTTCTTTGTTTCATCATCAATGATAGCTTTCAAATTCTGTTTAATGTTAGAGTAAATTAAAGAATCCCAATGGCCCAATTGATTCAAATCAATTATCTCAATTTCTCTATAAATGTAAGCCCAATCCGATAATATAATTATAAGTAAATGGTTTGGATCAACGGCCTCTTCAAAATACTTTTGGAACAATTCAGACACAATTGGTGAAACTATTGAAGCAAATGTTTCCCTAATTCCTTTGAACGCAGAGTATGGCTCATTTGCCAACTTTTTCAAGGTATCTGAAACTAAACTAATTTTTTGTTCTTCATTAGAAATCGAAGTATATTCGTTATTAAATGCCTCTATTAAATCCACGATACGTTCCGTTTGAAGTAATTCTTCATTTTGTGAACTCATGCGTGATTCGATTTCCTTCAATTGAAACCCATGGAACCTTTCATCCTTTATAACACTTTCCAATTCATTGTTAATTCTATTTAGTTTCTCGTAAGCATCCTTCAATTCGTTTTGGTTCCCTTGTCGTATAGTTTGCTTCGCAATATTATCTGACAACTCTTTATATTTCATTGGGACCTCTGCCCCTTTCAATTCCAAATCTTCAATTAATTCAAAAATATCTATCTGAGGCTCTAATTTATCTTGTTTCTCCTGTTTCTCTTCGTCACTCGAACTCATAGCTTCATCCGAATCGTGAATTTTTTCTTTAATGCCACCAACTCCTAGTCCTTGAGGTCTCAATTTCGTTTCAATTGGATTCACTATACCTCTATTATCTGATCCTAGCCCAGTTCCTTCCACATATCCCATTTTCATCATTAACTTGGCCCCAATACCATACTTCTTGGTGTACGATGTCGTTCCCCGACTCGTGGCCGGTGTATTGAGCCAGTTCGAAGGGACTCCTCCATCTATTCCTTCTCCGTATATTTTTTCTTTAAAGCTTTCCTCAATGACATGCTTTTTATCGACTTCTATCTCGTCTTCGTCTTCCTGTTCTTCTTCATCGTAATCTGAAAATTCATCATTAATCGACCTCGCTAACATACTCATCGATTGAGGTTGTTTAGTATTTGCCTCATTCTTCCCGGGTACGGTCGATGATGACCCCTTGGTAAATGCTAGATTCTTATACAGACTCGAAATGCCCATATATATTTCCTGTTTCTTATCAATACATATCCAACAATAGTATGGCTAAAATGAATCTATTTACATTTCAGATATGAGATGGATCACGTGAATGGTTCCAAATGCAAAATGTTTATGGTAGACTATACATGACTATATGAATGAATACTACAACTTCATGGTCTTAATAAATTCTGATAGGTTGATTTCTTCCGCAGACTCGTTAAATCTACCATCATTGTAATCTTTTTGTACATCATCTAGGCCCTCCGTCACAACCTGTATAATTGCTGGTTGATCGACTTCACCTGGAAGTCTAAACTCAGTGGGAATAAAGTCACCATACTTAGCGAGCCAGTTCCTCCGCCTTTCATACTCTTCCTGTTGTAATTGAAAAATATCATGGTTGAGAAAATTTGTGAGTGTTGATAAATACCTTCGTGGATAGGTGTATTGTTCATAAAAGAGTTCGGTAAGATACTCTGATTTGTAGACAGAGAGAAATTGTGTATAGTGGTACACAAGCAAATTTATGGTCTCGGTATAGGCTTCGAGGGGTGTCTGGTTGGACTTCATGTCTATGGAGCACTTTCCAAATAATTCGTCACAGGATAGTACCAAGATCATATACGTAGACAAGTTAGTAGCTTTATACTCGATATAAAAGTCAAGGAGATCTTTGACCATAGAAATTAAGGAGTCAATACGAGAAAATTCGCTACTCAAGATCTTTTTGGTCCTCATTTCGTTGTTTAGGATGATATCATATACTGTCTTAAGTTCTTTGAGGACATCTGGTAATTCTAGAGCGTCGTTTCGGAGTACCTCGAAATTCACATCCACCAGTGGGTCGTTTGGATTCTTTGTGTTGAAAAATAATGTTCCTTGGACACATTGATCGTAATGGTTTGTCATCATCTCCAACATGGGCACTAATTCGTTTTCTAACGACGAATTTTCTTTCAATATAGTATTGATTAAGTTGTTTAATTTGTAGGGAGACACATCAGGAGCCAAGCTTATTCCCAAGTGCATCGGCATTAGCTCCTTATATTGCTTCATAACATTATGGTACTTTTTAGATGCAATTATCTTATAAGGCTCCAAAACACTCTCATTCATCGTTTTTTCGAGTAATCCATGCAATTTGGTGCAGTTAGCCTTATAAATCTCAATATTGGTGGTAAGCAACTTGATGTCGTCCAACGAAATAAAGTCACAAAGGTTCCTATCCTCTACTAACGAGTCTATATGTGCCTCTTTCTCATGCACAACACTATTAATCAAGTAACTCGGAACCTTGGTCTTGGCAAGTTGTGCTAGAATAGAATCAAGTTGTGCCAATGCTGGGGTTAAATCTCGTTCCACTTGTACATTGAATTGGTTCACCGACTCCTTTCTTAAACGGCTCTGAGACTCCACTATCGACGTTAGCAATTCTTGTTGCTGCTTCAAAGCATCTACCATGAATGTGACGAATTGGAGCTTTTCAGGAAGTTGGGTGACAAGCTGATAAGTGGTAGATTGAAGCAGTGTTTGTGCCTGTGTGCACATTTTTTTGGCCTCCTGTAAAGTACTCTGTGCCTGTTCTGACCATGATATCACTGTATCTCTATCAATACTGGAAGACATATCATTCCTCGTCCTTCTATAGACGTTTAAACCATTCCTATTTCACTTATCTATGGTCCTTATTTATGGAGCATTGGATCATGTGACTTTTATGTTTTCTCGACCTGAAAAATGTGTTCAAGTACTTCAACGTTAATCTATCATCTATAGATACCAGATTAATCAGTATCGTTGATTCTTATAGGTTGTGCAGTATAGTACAGAATGAGTAGTACTGATATATTACAACATTTGCGAGAAACAACCGTTAACAAGGAGCCTATAACGCTACTTAAAAGTGATGGAGATAATCAAAATGCAACAGAATCAATAAAAGACGCTACACATGTAAAGTTTGGAGTTTCAGAAGATGTATACCCGTTAGATAAAGTTACTATCTTCTACAATGAAGATAAACCACAAACGTTAAGGGCGGTGATATTTTGTTGGTTACACGATAAGTCATCAATTGTCGACTATAAGAATGAATGTTTAGACTACGGCATTGCAGACTTCAAATTCTTGGTAAAAACCGAATTAACCACATGGTTGAATGGTAATTCAGATACATGTACTTTCATTAGGAACGAAGGGACTAACAAAAGCACCGGTGCTAGTTCGGCTTCTAATGTTGGTAATGCAACTAAGGGCGAATCCGTCGATAGCAAAAAGCACAAATTAGACGACCCTCAGATTGAGCGGATCTCACAACACGAAAAGGAGTCTATAGACCATAACGCTGCGTTAAGAGGATCCAAAAATATCGACTTTGGGTACCTAGTATCAGATGCAAAGAAATTTATTAGCCAGTTGAAACGTGCCAAACCATCGTCATCATCCACCCAAAACGGCTCGAAATCTAACGGCCCAAGCGCTCCAAAGAAACAGCCAATCATTATTGTTTCTCCAGCCAGTACTTCTTTAATAGCATTGAATAACATCAAAGAATTCCTCGAAGATAGCAAATTTGTCGAGCCAAGTGTGACAACAAACAAAAAGCCAGCAAACGGTATTGTGACTATTCATCATAATTTTGAAAGATTAATATCTTCCGCTCAGAATATTATGGTAGTTGATAATGTCGATATGTTCACTAAACCAGAATACTGGGACCGTGTAGTAGCAATTTTCACAACTGGTCAAACTTGGCAATTCGCTAAATATAAATACTCAAAGCCTGAACACTTATTTCAAAGATACGCCGGTTTTTACGTCAGTTACCATGGGGATGTTACTCCTAAACAGATTAAAGATTGGAATGTGACTGAATTAAAGGTTGATAGAAGTGATAAGAGATTTAGAGACAAAATGGTAGTGAGAGACTTTTGGGCAGATATTGAAAAGGTCTTGATCGCCAAGGGATACGGTAAGCAATAAAGCTTGCATCCTTAATTCCATATAACATATAACTACTGTAAAATTATTTTAATATAAACTATTGATTTATTATGCACGCTATATACAAGTTTCGTTACCTATCTATTGATAACGCTTTTCTAAGTCAATAAACTTTTGATAAATTTCTCCTGCCGTTAAATTACTGATCTTTCTATCATCCCTTGATCTAATTGCAACAGTACCATTTTGTAAATCTTTATCCCCAAGCATTATTATGTATGAATAACCTTTTTGTGTTGCATCCTTAATTCTATTCCCAACAGTTTCACTTCTGTTATCCACATCAACATAAAAATTATAACCAGTCATTGGAGATATATCAACTGTATCATCTATTATGTCGCCAACTAATTTCTTCTGCAAAGCCACAGCTGCATCATAGTGAGTATCATTAACAGGAATAATAACAGCCTGTCTTGGGTTTATCCAAAATGGCCATTTACCTTGATAATGGTCTAACAATATGGCAAAGAATCTTTCCAAGGAGCCAAAAACTGCCCTATGAATCATGATAGGCTGATTATCACGACTACCATCTTTAGAAATATAATTCAATTTAAATCTCGTTGGCAATTGAAAGTCTAGCTGTATAGTTCCAACCTGGTGCTTCTTACCAAATGCATCTTTTAATAAAATATCAATTTTAGGGCCATAGAATGCACCATCACCTTCTCTAATTGACCAATTTCCACTACCAGCTGTGTTATCCAAGACACTTGTAAGTTGAGACTCTGCATCATTCCAAGTGTTGATGTCACCTATAAACTTATCGGTCGGTCTTGTTGAAAGAAAAAATTCAACGTCTTTAACACTGTCTATGCCAAACACTCTATATGTATCCTTAATCAAGTTGATGGTATTAGTGATTTCGTCTTGAATTTGAAATATTTCGCAAATATATGGCCATCATCTTGATGAAAACGACGTACTCTTGTCAACCCAGAAAGTGCTCCACTAGCTTCATTTCTATGTAAAGAAGAGAAGTCTGAATATCTAATCGGCAACTCATTGTAAGATCTTTCAAACTTTGAAAATATCAAGCAATGACCAGGACAATTCATCGGTTTTAATCCATAGTCATGTAGACCTTCACTATCATCATGACTATGTTCATGATTTGAATCCTCTTCCTTTGATAAATCGTTGCCAACAACCTTGAACATGTCTTCCTTATAGTTCTCCCAATGTCCTGACATTTCCCACAATTTAGTTTTGTAAATTAACGGTGTGATAACTTCTTGAAATCCATATTTCAATTGCTGATTCTTCATGAAATGAACTAACTTGTTAAATATACGTGTTCCATGTGGTAAAAAGAATATCGATCCTGGTGTTAGCGAATCCGTAGTATATAGTAATTGCTTATTTGAAATAGCATGATTAGCCTGTGTCGAAGATTCCTTGTCACTGGTATTGGAAGAGTAACGCAAAAATGATAATCTGGTGGTACTTATCCCTCCGATTCTAATTCTTGGGGTCAATAACCCCGTTGATAATCTGACCATATATCAATAGTTGTTTCTGCAAAGTATATTTACAAAGTACAACTTTTTTTTTTCATCGAATTAAGTCCCAAAAAGATCGCACAGCTATCAATGTACAATAAATATATATTTAGTATACGAAGTAATGAAGGTATATATGAACCTATATATGTGAATTAGAGCGTATAGATTAGTTAATTAGCACTGAATTCTAGTTAAAATCAGCACTTTTACTTATTAATCAGATTTTCAACATTGATCCACTCTTGCAATCAAAATGTTAGATTGGTGTATAATCACGAAATCATGGTTAGGCTTCGACTTTAGTTTCAGGGGTTTCAGAAGCAGATAAAGGTGCTGTAGAACTACCTGGTGTGTTTTCATTTTCCTTGACACTTGCAATTACCGGTGGATGTGGAGCAGCATTCTTAGGCTCTTTTCCAATATCCTTTTGTCTCCATGTAACATATTTGATCTTGAACCCACTAAAAGTCTTAAACTGAGTAGGCTTCTTTATCCATTTCTTCGTAGGATTACCCGATTTATCTAACAAATAGTGTTCACTGTTTATGCTGTTCATGGTTAACCCGGAAGTCGACAGTTCCTTTAGTCCCGAATTGATCTTGAAATTGTTCACATTAGATACCTCTTGGTTATTGCTTGGCGCTGGTGATGATACCTTTGATACTGTCTTCGATGTATTCTTTGTTACTTTTTTAGGTGCTGGAGAAGTACCTCCTCCGGCCGTTTTTTTCTCTTCGGCCGTTATTTTCTTTTGACGGGTCTTTGATATGGGGGTTGGGAAGTGTGGTAATGTTTGTAAAAACGAACTTGGAGCTTTAAGTTTAACCCAGTGTCTTCTAGGTTGTGCCATAGCTTCTGTGTCTAATTCTTTTAATATTCAATACTAGCAAACAGCTCGAGATATATGTGACCAAAATCGAGTTTTAAAATGAAAAATATGAACCTAGTCTATATAACAGGCTTCTTTAATTATATATTGGGAAGAAATACTTATTAAAATGGTGTTGAAGTGTTAAATAATGAACAAGATCAACGAAAAAAGTGGTTCAAATCGTGATTGAGAAATTTCATTCCCTTATTCTTCGATGCAAACTAGCATATATTTGACATTATTATAAATTACAATTGTATTACAGTAAGATGGAAGCACGACCTGATATAAGCAGACAAAGGATGTCATCAAGGATAGACTTCCTTTCTAATGATTTAAAGTTGGATGTAAGGGCGTATCAAAGAACATACGAGGGTGCATATACCCGTACAGCTATAGGTTGCTTATCATTTTCAATAGTAATTATAAAGTTATTTTCGAAAGAATTCCTTCTAATCGGAACAGTCTACAATATTTATGGCTGTTTGCTCTACTTTATAGGGGTAGTTAAATCGTATTCTGTTGATACATATTATGATCCATCCAAGAAGATGGAAATGTATAAAACTGGGGGTAAAAGTGTTCTTACCCTATCAGTGATTAGTTTAATTAGCTACATTGCATTGTTGGTGTTGGTTATACGGTTGTGATAAATATAAAGGTTTTAATTCATATGTTTAGGTAAAGGATAATATATACATGAAAATATTAAATAACTGTAGCAGGTTCAGGTAAGAGCACCCAAGCCAAACACTATAACTTGAAAAAGCAATTGAATAGACCAAAAACCAACCTTCTTCATTCTGGCCACTCTTGCTTCTTCGTCTGCAACATAATCAACAAAGCTATCGTAGACTTCTTCTGAAATATCATCCATTAATAGTGAATCGTAGACGGTCCAAGACCCACTGAAGTCGGCAATATTTTTCACAATTCTACTCTTGACTTCAATGAACGTATTTTTGGAGTTTATATACGCAACAATAGGTCTAATCAAGGCGTAATTTATGTAAGACAACTCGGGGGTTTGAAAAGGTACCGTTGCTCTGACATTATTCAATCTGATTGTCAAATCCAATACGAAGTATTTCAGGATATCATTGTAATCGCTACTGGCCAATCTCATATGATGATCTGGGTGCAGACTCTTCATAGGAACTTCTGGATTACGATATCTGTTTGCCTCTTTCTTTATTGACTCTGCAATAATGGTTACTAATTCGCTCATATTCAAGTCTTTATTCTCTTGAGGAACCATAACATCACCAATCATATCAACTTTTCCACTGGTAATCCAACCAAACGGACCTTCCAATCCAGTATTTAAATGATCAATTTCCAAAGAATCCACCCTGAGCCTTGTAATACGCTTCCAGGTGTCTGACATCTCCCCCATAGAGTAATCTCTATTAAAGTCGTCCAATCTCTGCTTTTTATGCACCGTAAATAATGCATTATCATAAGATCCACTCATAATATTAGCATTCAAAAAATCATAGAAAAGCCAATGCTTTCTCAACTTAGATAACTCGCAATTATATATTGCGACGTCAAAGTGCCTAAAATCGCTAGGTTGTATTAACTTGAAAAGCACGTCTTCCATCTTAAAGTCATTTATTTCGAAATCACCCGGTTGATAGACGTTTTTGTAGTTGGTAGCGTCATCGTCTGGATCCCAATGAACGTGTCCACGATCAACAACTCCTCTTAATCCTTTTATTTCTAAGTTTTCAACCATTCCGGTACCATTGACCCATTTATTGAATGACAACGATAGATTTACTTCTTCTATTGTTAAGTCGAATTGGGTATAGTTACCGTCGTCATATACTTCGTTTTCAGTTGTGTCGTTCGAACCTTGGACACTTGCAGCATAAGCTTCGGCCTGTGAACCTTTCGTGAACTTGGTCGACAATTTAGGTCTTCTACTCACGAAACATTTCCTGAAACTAATTCTACCATCAGACCATCCAGGAACGACTGCACTTTCGAATGTAACAGTTAAGTTGGAATTCTTCGTAATAAACTCACCCATCTTCCGGGCCACAAATTCCTGAGCAAATACCGTGTTGAAAGTGAATATAACTAACGAAAAAAATGTAGTTGTAGCCAAAAAGAATAATAACACATTCCCCATAACCAACCATGAAAAAACTGCAGAATAGTCATCAGTGTTAAACGGCCTATTCGATTTTTTTAGTATCCATTTTAGACGTATCTTCATTCTTGAAAAAAAATTGTTCGCCTTAGATAACAATTGTTCTCTAGTAACTGGTACCAGTTGATGCGTAGTTTTATCTTTATTGAACTTTTGTTGTAGGTCAGTCTTTGCTGGAGCTGGCTTTGATTCACTCGGAAATCCATTTCTTTTTGTTTTACTACTTTCAATGTGCTCTTTATATTCATCTGATACGTTCTTTTCGTTATTTTTATGATTTGGTTTACTGTAATGCCGTATCTGAGGCAAAATTAAGTTCTTATATGCTAATTTTATAGTACAACTTGGATATGGAGCATTAAACACACTCTGCGTATATAATCCCCTATTGCTTCTTAATAGACTATATTGCAACGGTCTAATTACCCTAAGGTATATCATCATTAGCAATTAAAGGTATATTGTATCAATCTACCTTATTAGCTTATACTTCGAACTTTTCGTTTGATATAGTTGTCAATTCAAAGTAGTTTATAAGGGTACTAAATGGAAATTAAATTTAAAGATGCTATATGTACTGTATATAATGCTCATCGAATTCCCGGAGATATACTCTACTATATTCAAGCCTGAGTATATGGATGATTATATGGATCAGATATTGGAATCTTGACCAATTCTCAAGAGCAAGAGAGGCATGGGTTGAAAATAGAAAAATGCGTTGTTGCTTTCTGTCTAATATGGATTGTAACAAAACAACTAATACGTCATAATACAATCCCAGATCTATCCCGAACACATAGGCTTGTATCTGATTGAAGCCATTTACTCTGCATTTTATCATACCCAACATCGACAAACTGAATATACATTGTTCTTTGCTTTAAGTTACGTTTGAAGATACCTTGGATCATACAATTGTGTAATAAGTCTCGAAATAGTAAGTGAGATTTTTCTTGTAATATCTTGTAATACACATTCATACCCAATCATCTGGAGAAACACAGCCTTTCCCAATGATGGTAAACAATAATCATCTACATGATTTACCACAAGTGGCTTTAAATCTCTATATTCTTCTATTCGTCATTACGCTAAATAATAATTGCGTTGCTTTTCAAGTTTTTTTGAAAAAAAGAAAAAAGATCAGTATTATCCAGCATTGGCTTATTCCTTTCAGGGATAATCTCTATTTGTGTTTGATGTTCTTTCCAAAGTATACTTTCTGTCCATTGCTAGCCAAATCCTCTTGGTGTTGCAGCCATTTGGGAATTGTTGGTAAATGCACGCTTAACCCCATACTATCTTATCATCTATCGGGACATAATTAAAAACCCCAGATATTAATGGTATGCTACAATGAGTCCTTATCAGCCGGTTATACCCTTCGGAAAACAGTTTAGAGAAGAATTCTTTACGTTATTAGACCATGAAGTTACTCCAGTTAACCATGGGTCGTATGGTCTAACCCCAACACCGGTTCTTAATAAGTTCATCGAATGTATTAGGGATGAGAATAAATTTCCAGACAAATTTGTGAAAGTAAGACAGCAGGCAGAATACATTCATTCTATCAAAATAATTGCAGAAGAAGTACTCAAATGTGACTATCACAACTTGGCCATAGTGGACAACGCCACCAGTGCAGTTAATACTATATTGAGACTGTATCCATTTGAGAAAGGAGATAAGATTGTGATGCCAAGTACGGTATACGAAAGTTGTGGGAACACCGTCAAGTTTTTACAGAAGAATATTGGTATTGTGCCTGTATATGTAGAACTTGAATATCCATTAAGTGATGATGATATTGTCAATAAGTTTGAGAAAGTGTTCCAAGGTTCGTCGATTAAGTTATGTCTTTTTGATGTGATCATCTCAAACCCAGGCATTAGATTCCCTTTTGAAAGGCTCACGAAGCTTTGTCAAAAATATAAAGTTTTGTCCTTAATCGATGGTGCTCATTCTGTAGGAATATTACCAATGGATTTAGGGGTGCTCAAACCTGACTTTTACACTTCGAACTTGCATAAATGGTTATTTGTTCCCAGAGGATGTGCCATTTTATATGTTGGTTCTAAGCATTTCTCATCCATTGAAACTATGCCGATTGGACATGTATTTGTTGATAGCGAAGATTCGTTATCATATCCACCAGAGATGGAGTTAATCGAGAAATTCAAGTTTGTAGCCACGAAGACATTTGCCCAAGTATCATGCATTGAAGCGGCTATCAACTTCAGAAGAAATGCATGTGTTGGTGAATCTACTATCTATGAATACTGCAATGACCTATGCCATAAGGTAGGACTCCTCATCACCAAAGATAAATGGCATGGCATGAGTATTTTGAATGATGGATTTGATACGGTAACCACTATGATCAACATAGAAGTACCAATAGATAATATTGCTAAGAGAGAAAATATTGTAATGGACAATAGCAGTACTGAGCAGCAAGTGAAGTTTTTGCGGTTTTCTAGAACGTTCATAGAACAAGAAATGATCAACAAATATCACACTTTCATTCCGATGTTTTACCATCATGGGAAGTTATATGCCAGGTTTTCTTGTCAGATATACAATGAGTTAGATGATTATGACTACGCTAGTGATGTAGTACTCAAAGTTCTTAAGAGTCTTTTTAATAGCGATATGTTTACTAAATGGTATAATGAGCAAAATGGAAGTGGCAAAGAGTAAACATGTAATATATCTACAATGGATCTATACTAAGAACTTCTTGTTAACATTTAATGGATGATGCTTGTGCTACACTGTGTGGGGCGTGTAATGTTATGCAATGCATCTAATTTATAAATCCGAGTGTTTGTGTTATGCCAAAAGTGGAATTTTGATGTGCACTCGCAACCTGCTCATGATGCTAATTTTGCATCCTTAAAATAGTTACTAAATATGGTTTAATACAATTGAAATTAAAATTAAAATTGAATAGTATTATGTAATGAACTATAAATCTAAAATTAGGACGAATGAAGAAGCAATAAAATTCTTAAAAACCACATTGGTTTTCGTATGTTCTGTCAGTAACTGGTGATGGGAAGATGCCTGCTTCGGTTAATCTAGAAAAGTCCCATTCAATGGCATTTTCTGTCTTCCAGGACCAGAAAATCCATCCAGCACCTTGTTCATATGCATCTAATTGGGCTTCAATGTATTTACGAACGTTAGTTCTGTAGTCACTTGGCCAAGAACCGTAGTCGAGATATTTTCCACAGGAATCAATGTATGGGCAGTTGTCGTAGTCACCAGAGTATCTGGCACCTCTTCCAACACCATTTAACCAAGTAGCACAGTCGGTCAAAGCAGCAGACCATTCACCGACCACATTCCAATGTGATTCCTGAGTAGCTGCTTTACCCCATTCACAAGCTGTGTCTATATGTTCATCGATGGATCTTTCTAACTCTCCCTGTGAAAATACTTGGTAGTGGTGATGGTCTACGACGACATCCCAATATTTGCTTGGAGGGTTAAAATCATTGTTCCAGTATCCCATAGATTGAAAGGCATCGTGAATGACAACTGTTTGAACTCCGGAATTTCTGACAGTTTTGTATCCACCATAGTAGAAAGTTTTTAACTTGTCCATGTCCAAAACTGTGCCCAATGGTTCGTTCAATAACTCAATACCAATTACTACATCTTCATAATCAGAACCACCGTATTTTTCCAGGATCTGTGCCAACACATTAAGAGTGACTTGAGTGTTATCACCCGATTGGAACCCGTATTCATCACGTAACCCAGAATTATCGAAACCATTCTGTGACCCAGGTGCACCGTGTAAATCAATCCAAGCCTTTAAACCATGTTTTCTGCACCATTTTAATGCTTTTTCCAAGTATTTATCTTGGCCTTGAACGTATGGATCTGAATCTAAGGTCTGGAACGCCCAGTACCCGATTGGGATTCTCACCATGTTTAACCCAAGCTTGCTAATACTAGAAATATCGTCTTCTGTTATCCAGTTCTCCCAGTGGGTCTCTAATCGTTGCTTACATACTTCCTTGCCCAACTTTTGGCAGTAGTGATATTCATCGACTGGCACGTTGCCGTCATCAGCATTTTGTTCGAATAACGATGGAGTCATGTAAGCTTCCAATACGAACCATCCCCCAAGATTAACCCCACGGATCTTATCGTTCTGGTAGTCGAACCCAGAATCCTTCTTGACCAATTTAATGTTTTTAGGAGTGTACGGAGCTGCAACACAAATACCTATGATAGCGAGAACTGCCATCAAATGTCCTGCGACACTGCTAGCAATAACCATTATTATTAATTATATCAAGTGAATAAATTATAATAATAAAGTTCAAATTATCAAAAAGAAGAAACAAAATTACCGACTTATTTTAAAATTCTAGATACTTTTGGAATTGGGTTCGATATATATGATCCACAGTATAAATAAACTTTCAAGATGCAGTTATTAATAAACCCACAAACAACGCATTTGGCAATTCGGTGAATTGCTAGTTTCACCAGGTCACTAAACCGGTTTCCCAGATAATAGAACTTTGAAATGGCCCATAATAGACAAAATTCAGAGGGGGAATCATTACGATCAATTATGCAACCGGCTATTACACAGGGGTAATTAATCAGGAAAGGCGTACTAAATAGTTATTCCTATTACTATTCGGGGAAGTGTTTGTAGCCATTCAATGCTCGAACATTGTTATCCCTTCAGAAAAAAAATGCGTTTTATCCCTTTTCTCAAGGGATAGCTATTGTAGTCGATTATATAATTAGAGGTTATGAGAGAGCCAGCCAAACCATCAACGCGTAAGTTGAGAGGAATGTAGAGAGAAACGTAGACTAAGCAGTAGAATGGAGGGAGCGTGGATGGGAGATGGTAAGATATTGGACACGATTATTCAATTAGACCACGGATAAACTAGTGCCAGATAAACTAACCTGTAGACGACCGGAAAGAAATGCACGCGGCGTGACAGTTACGGAGAGGAAGTCAAATGGAACCAAATGACACCAAAAAGCCTCCAATTGGGGTTTGTGATACTGCAGCCACTATTGTTCATAGATAGTGAGATTCACAGACATAGCCAAGAACGCGCAAAGAGCAAGTAGAGATTAATGTGTTACGGCCAAGCTTCTATATTCTGGGGTAAGTAGATCAAGAATTGGTCAGGCCAAGCGAACAAGTTATACCAAGAACAAAGAGAAAGAATCAGGTTTGGATAGATCAAAGACCAGATAATAGTCAAATAACGAGAGCCCATCGCAAAGGGGGGTTTGGGGCAACGAAGGGGTATCTCACGCATCAAAAATATCCTCCGCTAATGATCAGATTGCGTGGACAGGAGGCCCGTAAAAGACGTCTCGACTGCATGTAACATGCAACCGAATGGTAGGTGAAACGGCATGTCGCTTGGTCTGGTCATACAAACTGGTGCGGACATATTATGAAACAATTGGTGAAACTCTACACGGTTGGGTGTTACAGAGTGTACGGGCATTAATTTCTGTCGTTGTGACATCTACTATAGGGTTTTGTGCCGAGTGAAAACAAGTGTACTAAATGGGTAGAATTGGACAAGAGGTATTCGCGGTAGCCAACTGACTGAGAATGAGTTCATGATTCCATAAGTACGGTCAGATACAGTCTATAGAGATGATAAATGGACTAGTTTGAAAGTACTTTACTGCGAGTTTCATAGGGCTCTTGTGATGTAGCAGGACCGTGAAAGGATAGGCTTTAATGTGGGGGAATGTAGAGCGGACAACAGTAGACAATAGGTGCAATATCTCCGGTTTGGGCCAAATGGACCCCTTCCAAGTTGTAGTCATACCTAAATGGTCATAATTGAATTGAACCTAATACACGATGCCAGACAATCCAATGGAGATAAATGCTGGTAATCTGATGACCCAATTGATTGTTGCATTAGACTTTTACTTGAAGGTGCATTATTGAGCAGAAATATACATTTTTTGCAATTCGCAGTGAAAATAGAACAGTGCATGTAGCATGAATAACCATTAACATGAATACTTACGGTAGTCTTCTTGTGATCTATTACTGTTTTAATGACCGAGAGGAGTACAGAGATGTGATGATTATAGAGGTGTGTCATTTAGTAGACATCTATAACAACTTACAATATGACCTATGATGTCATCATTCAAGCTTTATTTCAATGACCTACATTTGTCTACGTACATCCAACCGGCTAATGCTCCACATGTAATGCTAATGAGAATTGCCCGTAGTAGCTCAGTCAATTATCTGTTGCAATAGAGGATTGATAATTTTATAATTCGCAACCATTATATCATCTCTGGTTAACAAGCTTTCTATTGCCATTGCCGGTCACAGCGTCTTTCCGCTACCTTTCTAGTTCTCCTTCAAGCTCTGGAGTATTAGAAAAATATCAGAAAAATATCGAGATGTACTTTCGACAGACACAGTATCCGTTGAATTTGAATGATTAAAGATCCTAGCATATGTCAATCATGATTCTAGACAGCCTTATGACAATCCTCATATTACAACCAGTAATTTCGAATGGCTGCTATTAGCTTATCATAATGAATAGAAGATGTAGATGATAACATGCTATGTCCGTAGAAGTCATAAGATCGACCAAATATGTGAGTCGCTGTCCAACACATCGTAGTACTGAAAAAAACGCAAGCAAGACCCTACTTTACTCTAAACCACACACATTCACTCTAACAGTCTTATAGCATGTCATTTACACAGATCACTACTATTTATCAATAATACATGGGTACGTCTATACGACATCATACCAGGGCTGAGGCCCTCTAATGATTAAAGTGACACAAAATCTCCCCCGCGAGTGGGTCGTGTACCATTTACCAATTTGATGATAATGTCCCATTAGACAAATTTTTCACTCGAATAGTAGTATACGATTAGGTCTTTATTCAAACTAAGAATAGTCTGCAATTTTTAGTAAAAGCTTAAAGTGATTATCTCTAGTTAACAATGTCTGTTGAAACCGCATTATCATACGCTGCTTTAATCTTAGCCGATTCTGATATCGAAATCTCGGCTGAAAAGTTAGGTCAATTGACCGCTAAGGCCAACGTTGAAGTTGAATCCATCTGGACCGACATCTACGCCAAGGCTTTAGAAGGTAAGGACTTGAAGGACTTATTCTTCAACATCCAAGCTGCTCCAGCCGGTGGTGCTGCTGCTGCTCCAGGTGCTGCTGCTGCCTCTGGTGAAGCTGCTGCTGAAGAAGAAGCCAAGGAAGAAGAAAAGGAAGAATCCGACGATGACATGGGTATGGGTTTGTTTGATTAGATGACTACGCGACGTCCGTCGGGGTTTATAGGTTTTTAATTGAATAAATAATTGCGTGTTGAGTGAATGTAGAAAGAGGAGGTGAGACCACCAGAAGAAGAGTACAGTAGATGGGACTAGGAAATGTGAGCATGTATAGGGCGTTTACTAAAATGTGCTCTGTTTTCTCTGTCGTAATCGTTACTCCAGATCTATAGATGCCTATGTCTAGATCCCGTTAACCCTTCTGAAAACGTAGAGATGTTCAGACTAAAATTGAGGCCAGAAATATAATCATCGTATCCGACGAGCCATATAAGATAAAATTAGAGTTGCCTGTAATATATACTGCTCGATGACATGTAAACTATACAAACTAAAAGTACCCAAATGGCCAAACTCGATCTCATCTCTCTACACATCTCGTACTAAACCACGTTTGTATTAAATCAAATGAACAATTTACAGGATATAACCGTACGTAATGCTAATAAACACAATATATACTCAGCGTTCCTCAGCTCCTTATTTCTTCTTCTTGTCAGCTTCGGCTTCGGCCTTTTCTCTGGCACGCTTTTCTCTAATACCCTTGTATTTCTTGTCGGACTTGGCCAATCTCAAGGTTCTGAAAGCACTTTGTTCTGGTTGTTCAACGGCTCTTGGAGTAGATTCAATGGCTGGTTGGACAACTGGGAAAACAGCACTAACATCGGCTTGCTTGTGGGTGGCAGCTTCGGCAGCCTTGGTGTTCTTGTCGAAAACAACTAACTTGGACTTGTATTCTTGTAATCTGGCAACATTAGCTTCGAAGGTTTCTTCGCTTCTGTTTTGTCTTCTGTGGTCAACAGAGATACCAATAGTTCTAGCGTACTTAGCACTTAATCCAGCAGCCTTTAATTCGGCTAAGGTGAATCCTCTACCGGCTCTGACCTTTCTGTTGTACTTGATAGTTGGACATCTGACAACTGGTCTCAAGGTATCAATTGGTCTTGGGGCAATCTTGGCTGCCTTGGCCAATCTGCTGTCTCTTCTAGAAGCCTTCTTACCAGCTTGGTCTAAGTGGACCTTGACACGTTCCTGCCAGTGCTTTCTGAAGTGATTCTTTAATAATGGTAAGTTCTTAGAGATAGCCATTGTTACTTAAACCTATACTAATGATATTATTAAAAAGTAGGACTTAATTATCATAAAAATTTTTCAATTCTTTTTTCCACTAATGCTCGTGCAATCCACCAACTGGTGGTCACACTCACGCCCACTGAACGATGCGAAGGTGCTCGCTAACTGATGAGATTCTGCCAAATTGTCGGGTGCCGCGACCTCAGTGCACCGATGTCGTTTAGCGGGTGGTCGCGCAGTAGCAGTCACAAACCACATGATTTCAGGTGACTGATTCTCAGTATTAATGGGACTGTCACTGTATATATGAGAACACGTCCCTAAACTGCGAATCAGGGTTCCAGGAGCCCTCGTTGCAACAATAGATCCACTGGCGAGCAGTGCGATTCGTTGGCAACGACCTGGTGGGTTTGTGTAATTGAGCTCGGGAGGGCCAATTTTTTCAGTCTATTCGGTGCGATACAGGTTTAAGTAAAAGTGAAATTTTTTTTTCAGAGGAAAGCAATAGCTAAACAAGTAAATATGTCCACTCCATCTGTCCAAGTATGTATGAGTTGAGGAACGGGAAGCGTATTGAAGGGGATACTAGATAATGAGAATGAAAGGGGAAGTCAAGAAGTGACCGAGAAAGAATGGTGAAATGAAATATTAATGTGAAGAATAGAATAGAGGAAGAAAATGAGTAAACGATAGAAATGAGAGAGTAGAAATGAGATATGAGAGATAATAGAGATAGTATAAACGAGTGGTATGAGTGAAGAGAATGAAGAGGTTGATTTGGTCACTATTAAAGAAGAAATGCCACACATGAGATCGAACCTTCAAGCCACGTATTTCCGTTAATTACGTCCCATTTGCGCGATGATATACTAACATTTTAGACTTTTGGTAAAAAGAAGACTGCTACTGCTGTCGCCCACGTCAAAGCCGGTAAGGGTTTAATCAAGGTCAACGGTGCCCCAATCACCTTGGTGCAACCAGAAATCTTACGTTTCAAGGTCTACGAACCATTAACCTTAGTTGGTTTAGACAAATTCCAAAACATCGATATCAGAGTTAAGGTCTCCGGTGGTGGTCACGTCTCTCAAGTCTACGCCATCAGACAAGCCATCGCTAAGGGTTTAGTCGCCTACCACCAAAAATTCGTCGATGAAGCCTCTAAGAACGAATTAAAGAAGGTCTTTGCTTCTTACGACAAGACCTTGTTAGTTGCTGACTCCAGAAGAATGGAACCAAAGAAATTCGGTGGTCGTGGTGCCAGAGCAAGATTCCAAAAATCTTACCGTTAAGAAGCCATATCAATCATATATTCATATTATTTGGTGTTTCTTTTTAGTTTTAAGTTTTTGGTTGGATTAGTTTTTTCATCCCCTTTTATCTAATGTATAAATAAATCACGTTTTGACATGTGTGTAGTGTAGATAGTACGGTAAGAGTAACCACAAGAAGCTGCGTTGACGCTTTACACCATCTGGAGGTATAGAGTTATTGAAAGGGCTTAATGGGTTCCTGTCGTTGGATCTTGCGTCTAACATAAGCTTTATCGATGCCTTTGTCTAGGGACTTCGTAAAATTCTTCATCTGCGAATATACTGGATGCGACCTCAGTAGCCAATTTCAAGTTTTGCTTAGCTATGTCAAGAGTACGGATTAACATTGTGTCTGATACTGCAACCTGGTTCTCGGTGCAACTAAAATTGTGTAAAGTTTGAGCATGGTTGGGTAAAGGTGAGGTAATTTCACTTCAATGTTGTGCCAGACACCAGCTACTAGAGATATGACTGGACAACACGAAGAAAATGGAAGGTCAAAAACCCAAACGGGAAGGCATATACATACTCGTTAATTCTTACAATAGAAATGACACAATGAAGAAATTGTATTTAGTTTATTTATTCACTATTGCTATATCTAGAATCAATTTACAATTATTTAGAGCCATGCATGTAACAGGGCTAATCAAGGGGCAAATGAATCGTCCAGGAAGTAGAGAAAAATTTCCTTTTAAATAATTACCTCTTTCTTTCTGTAATGTAGATCTTGCAGCATGCAATGTAACAACTTTAGCTACAAACGATAAAGAAATTCTTAATTTATTATCAAGCATGAAATACAACTTTAATTACACACCACAATACCGGAAAAACTCTAGTCGGTTCTATATACTCAAAAATAAAACGAGGATTTCGATAGAAATGTGATTATCAAAAACCTATACAATATCATCCATGACTCTATCGTCTTATACATTATCCTTTCTAACTCTTAGAATCTGATTGACCTGATCAATCAAACTTTGTTCTAACGAAATGTAATCAAAATTAAGGATTTCTCTGGTTCTTTTATCATTTACCTTCGCAGCTTTATTCACGATTTCTTCTTCAAAGTTTTCTACTGGTTTACACATAGGTAAGTTTTTAAGATAAGAAAAATTCTTCCGCAAGACATCCACAATCGATTAAGAAAACCTTTGGTTGGCAACAAGAAGTCTTTCACCCTCGGCCTTCAATTTCCAATGCAGCCATGTGCGCCTTTGCAATGTCTCTCACATCGATCATACTGTCGTTACTATCAGGAATTTTATCTGTTGGTTTCAAACTCAATAATTGGTAAATATATTCAGCAGTAACGTTTAAGGTAGGTGAAACTTCTGAATCAAATGCTCGGGTACCAATAGTGAAAGTTGGCATAACCATAGTAACCAGGAAATTCGGGTATTCGTTTCTTTTAAAATCCCAGACTGCCCTTTCTGCGTAAGTTTTAGAACCATAGTAGCCATTTAACCCGTTGACTAATGAATCATCCCATGAAATATTGTTGTAGAATTTCTCATCGATGATATAGTTGGGATTGGAATATTGTTCATGGCTCGCAATTGCAGCACGCAAAGAGGTAACAATTAACTTTCTAACCTGATACGCATATTTCTTTAAGGAAATAAGGGGATATTTAGTGCCATCTACAGCAGGTAACATCAAATCATTCAAGACATCATCGGTTGCGAAAATTACCGGTGAAGCAGTATGGAAGAAAGCAGTTACTTCTGGATGCTTTTTTAATGCCTCATCAAAGGATCCCTCTTTCTCAATTGCATCTACAATCTCGAAAGAAAATTTGTTCGATCCAAAATTATTGGCTAGTTTTTCACCTTTTTCTTTTGATCTAACTGAAGCGACAACTTTGCATCCCTTAGAAAGAAGTAATTTGATGAGATGTTGGGCAATGAAGCCAGTTCCGCCACTGACGAACACTGATTCGTATTTTGGTAGGACATACCATATAATCTTTGTGTTTGGGAGGCAAATTGATTCCATGAGAAGCTTTCCGCATCTTCCATATATATAGTGGATTGACCCTGGGTTCATATCTTGCACTTGTAGATTTGGCTTTTGTTACGGTAGGCGCACATATTCTTTGTAGAAAAGTGGAAACATTGGTGGGAATGTAGGCTTATTATTTTCATCAACGGTATTTTACTATGAAAACTTTCCTGAAATAAAGCTGTTTATGAATTGTTGCTCTGTAAAAACATTGAGTATTTAATGTACCTTTCGTTTATTGCTGTTGGGTTTTCTCTATAATAGTTTTAAATTAGTAATATCACCTGTAGCTACAAAATAGAGCAGAGGAAAAATGAAGTTAACGCCGACTTCGCGCATACCCAAAGCTAAGTGATAAGTGGTTAGTGGCATAAAAAAGTTTATACCGATATGAGTATAAGTAAGCTCACAAATAGATAACGTCCTTTTCAAGTCCGGATATCTAGATGACAAATTGTTAATGCTTCACTTGAATGTTTCTATGCCTCTCAAGTTGCGAATACAGACTTTTCTCAATGCAAGCTTGCACCACCGAAGATATCACTTGATGAGGGTCTATTGACCTTGAACACATTAGTCCTAGTGGGGATTAGGCGGTTTTCTTCGTATTACTGATAACATTTTTGCTTCTTATGAGTGAATTAACTATCAGAAGAGCCTCTCAATCCACTTTGGTTCTGGAATTGGTGCCGTTGGATCATACCAGTGGTATATCTTCCGAGTCCTTTGCGAAACTGCGTTTCCAATTTTGGACTTTCAAGGAATGTGGATATACAATGGTTTCTTCAGTGTAATGAACACTAAGACATATCTTTGGCATCAAAAATATAATCATGCAACCGCAAGCTCACCTGCAGAAAGAGACCATGCGATATTACGTAGAAAACCGACTTTTTCATTCTGAGCTACAACATCCACCAATGCTTGAAGAATAAGTATTGGTGGTCCCTTTATTAAGTTGCTTTAGAGGTACCGGCGTCCCGTCAATTAAGTTATATTCAACATCTGTTTAACAAGTTAATCAAAGAAAAACTTTTAGACGGTTGCACTGTTCGTGAAGGTGAAACATGATCAAAAATGACGAAGAAGTTGTAGTCCAGACTGTGGAAGAATCTTGTGAAGAACACGAAATGTTTACTGGGCGAAACGTAGCCTTACTCTATCACAATAAAAAGCATAAGAAATTGTGCACTGTAAAGACTAGAAGTATACCTCCCGAAAAGCTACATTCTAAATATAGCCTACATATCGCAAGCCACTCTATAAGTCTATCACATAGCTATTCATAAAGGAATGGCCCATGCATCAACCAGACAATAATTTATTGTATTGAACTACGAAATTCAGGATAGGTAAATTTTATTGTTAGCCGTCTATGGAGTATATGTGAACTGAGTCTTCTATTGTGGGCGTATTCTAGCTTATCGATCTCGTGGAGTTTATTGTAGACAGAACAAATGTAGTACGAGAATAGCATTCTCTACGGTGTTGGTGAAAGACTTCTGCGGTAGTCCTTAATTCATCATCGTATATATTCTTCCCATATGCTGAGATATACCAGGATTTTCCTCCTCTGTCTATACTCCAATATTGCTACGTTCTTAGCACATGCTAAATTTATTTGCACTTATTTTCTCCAATATTATTCCATATTACAATATTCTCCGAACCAGATCTTTCATTTTACAAATCCTTTGTCGCCTCATCTACTATTTATAATTCTCCTTCTCCATGCATAAACTTTTCTTTTTGTATCTTCGTCTTATGAAGCCATGTGATTTTCATCAAATATATAGATCGAATGTCTAACCCATCAACTGTACTTACCATGCATGTTGAAATCTGTAACTATAAAACTATCAGAATGCACAGATTGTTTTAAATAACTACTATTCAAACTAATGTGTTTTACTATATAAGGCAGTCAATTGCTAGACTCCAGTAATAAATCATAGTCGATTGTAATTAAAAAGAAGAACAATAATAATAGTTATTATCGAAAGGGGAGTAGAAAATTTTAAGTTTACATGTGTCATGTCATCTAAAAAAATAAAAAATCATGCATGTCTTAAAATAGTTTTGAACTTAATAATTGCTTATTGGTTATGTAATCTGATTATTCTTACTATATAAAGAGGTCCATTCGGTCATAGTATTAGCATACTGAGACACTGGGTCACTGGTTAGATATATGTACGCTCAATTAGGTAGTTACATAGGTCTTAAGGTTTATTACGAAGATGATAAATTCTTATTTTTAGGAGATAGAGATATAGTCGACGAAATCAAGACGAAATTATTGACCATTATAAAGGATGATATTAACTTCGGTGCATATTATGATGGTGATGATCGGTATCTTGTTATCCGCAAATGTTAATGCGTGGTGGCTTACTTTTCACTGTAATTCCGACTGTACAGGGAACATCGGATTTAGAGCCGAAGGGAACACGACCTTGGATTGTAAACACATAACTAGCAGTTGTTCTCAACATTCAGTTAAGGTGGAAGCATTATATGACGGTGTTGGAGGTGAACAGTACGCATACTTTTATGATGCCCTTAACTGTCCGAATCCGGCTGATATCACAGTTGATGGTGGAGAGGATAGATGTGTCAACGTTAATCGTCATCAATACAGTATGAAGATTGTACAAATCGCCTTTGGAAAGAGAGATAGTATAGTAGGCGAATTACATGGTAATGTTACTAGTGAATTCTTGGCGGGTCGCAATGAAACTCTCGCTCAATTTAGGGATTTCATAGGAAGCAACAATGTTACAGAAGTACCAGAGATCGTTGACTCTAATGACAGTCAAACAGTCAGGTTGACAACATTGGGTATCTGAAAGGAATTATTTCGGTTGATTGGGACTAGAATGATTGAACTACATAGAACTATTCTATATGTATCCATAAAATGGTTTCTTAAAGTAAAATCTCCAATATATTAAATCACGTTTTGACATGAGTGTAGTGTAGACCATAGAGTATCATCGGAGGTGTTAAAAGCAATTAGGGTATAGATAACCTTACACCATGAGTACAATTTTTCGTACCATTTCGTATAGCAAATGAACCTGTGGTGGATTCTGCATGTATTTTTCTGCAATAGTAAGAGTATACTGAATTAGCATCTATAAAACCATCACTGTAAGACTGTTCATAGTCTATAATATTGCGAACCTCGGTATAGCTAAAGTCTTTGGGATTGTTATCTATCCAGTACTTCTTGTCGTTCATTCAATATATGCTATGCACTTTTAATTCTTCATCAGGAAGCATCACATAGTGATATAAGACTTGTACATTGCCTAGATAAAGCAGATGACGCTTTCTCTATATTTCTTTTCTTTCCTCTATGTCTGTAACAGAATACTATCAAAGATATCTTAACTTTGAATGGCTTACCAAGCGTAAACACGGCAGGTTGATTTATGGCGAACTCGTTTTCAAGTATATCTTCCATGCTCGCCTCTAAGTCACTTTCCGTTACGACTTTCCAACTCTTATAACTTCCTCGAAATTTTAACTTTGATCTTCATCGAGTACTATATACATATCTAGAGTAACAAAGCCATTCCTATGGAGTATGTATTTTAGCCTGCTGTTTGTGAAACTGGGTCTTTTGTTATATGAGTATATTCTTAAGCTATCAATCTCGAGGAGTTGTCTCACAGTAGCCCAAATAATTTCAGTACCAGAATAACGTTACCCATGCTTTTAACGAGCACTTTTTGTAATGGTTATCGAACCCAGATGGCAATGATTTTTCGCAACTTATTTGGTGCTAACATTATACTATAGTCTGTGATTCCCCCCACAGCGAAATCTCTGCTTCAATAAATCTTCTTTCACTTCATCCATATCACATACTATATATTATATTTCGTTGTTTAAGTACTTTTGTTCGTATTCGTCTTGGCTCCTCTTGATATTAAACTAACTTGTGATTTTCATCTAATATATAAGTCCGAAAAGTGTAAATCAATGCTTTGCTTATTTAACTTCCTGGCCATGCAATAGTTTTGGATCGTGTGTCAAACAAAGACCTTCACTAAACCTTGACCTTGAATGTTAGAGAAGCATCTTCTGGAACTTTTATGTTTGAAGACTTAGTATACTGCGGAAATAATTTCTCATCCCCGGCCCTGAAATTTCGTGTAGATTGTTTTAAGATGAGGTCTCGAAAGAGACTATTCTGGTCCGATTGTTGCAATTTGCGACCTTACAGCTTCTAAACTAAATTCAGCATCAGAGATAATTCGATGTATATCCATATCGCAAAAAAATATAAAGTTGAGGCGAGCTACGAATTGAACCCAGATGGTTATACCAAATGGAGCAGCAAGGGCTCCTTAGTCGGTACAAACTGCATCGTAGGTTTTACTTTGATTGTTACTTGAGCTCTGCCTTCAAAAATAGTGTTAATTATGAAACACATTGCCGACTTGACCGTTTTGAATTTTGGCCTTCAAGAATTCTTGGTGGTTCTGTTGAAGTTTGACAAGTTCTCTGACACAAGCTAGTACCAATGTTTACTAAATGTTGAAGAGTTAACTTAGCTTTGATTTGATTCTAGACTCTCTTGACGCTTCTTCTTCTAAGTTCTTCAAGGAATTTAAGTGCATGAGTATAACATTATATTAAGGATCTAAAACTAATACTTTTAAATGATAAAGTCGATCGTGCGTGTGAATTATTGGGGAATATAACTAATAAAATAAAACGAATAAGGGAACTTTTTCTTGTCTCGTTTGTTATGACAACAAAGCCAAGGTGACATCACCCTTGATTGGCACGAAGTTCTATATCAACATCCAAGTTCAAGTCAAGTCTCAATCGTAAGGCACCTTCACTGCTTTTCAGTTGTTGCGGCTCCTGCTCTTGCTGCGGCTGAGGCTGCGGCTGCTGCTGCTGTTGAGATTGTTCCTTCGCAATATCATCAATCTTGGCCACTTGTTGCTTTCTACGTTCTTGTTGACCCAACTTCGCAGGAGCCTTTTCGGAGGCTTTCTTCTGTTTCTTTTTGTTGCCCTTTTCATTAGGAATTTGTTCGGCTGTTGGTTCTGGTTCTGGCTCCGTGTTTAACTCTTCTTCGGACTCTGAGTCCGAGTCCGAGTCCGAAGAGTCCGAATAAGAGTCTTCGGACTCAATATCAGACTCTTCATAATCCTCTTGATTTTGTTGTCCCTTCTTTGGATTTTGCCCAGCGTCTTGTTGCGATGCCTTGCCTTCACAGATTTTTGTTTTTGTTGTTTGGAACCCTTGTTGTTCTTTTGGTTCTTAGAACCAATTTGTTTCTTTGGTGTTTGTTGTTTGGAAGACATTTTTAATGACTATCTAAAAAGAGTAAGCCAAAAGAGACCTCCTGGCCTTATTTATTTAATATAGCATTTGTTGGTTTAGTTCAAAGTCTAGAAGAGCAATTTACATTTTCTTTTCATTAAGTGTTCACACCCTCTTTTTGGCTTCTCCTCTAAGAACTTACCTACTATACATGATAGCAAGAGAAGAAAGGAAATCCGTCGTTATCATCATGTTTCACGTTAGAATATGAGTCAATATTTGACTTTATGGCCATGGTGAGACGCGTACCGTTGGAGATGGGCCCCTCTCTGTGCCTCGCGATCTCCTTTTGTCAAATTGAGAGATACACCAGAATTATTTCTCCTGCTAATTATTAGAACCTGATGACAAGTATCCCAAGTAATCCGGGGCAATCACCTTTTGATTGCTTGAAAGAAGGTGGAAGATTTCCACACGGTGTAAAGAAAAAACAACTACCAGATGCTGTATTCGTATATATAAAGCCTGTACTATTTTCTCTTTCCATTATTCTTATTATCGATATTTTAAGCGAACAATTTGTTATTATCTACTAAGTAATAATGACAGATAAAATTTCAAAGGTTACAGACCCCATTAAGGGGACCATATCTGATAAAGCAGGACAACTAGGAGGCAGTGGTGATAGTCAAACCAACGTTACAGGCTCTGCCAAACAGAAAGGCTCTGACACAACAAGTCAAGCTACTAGAAATAGCACTGTCGATTCCCTCAAGAACAATGTACAAGACAAGGCCAGTGAAGCCACTGACAAAGTGTCTTCTATTCCAGGCTCCGACCTTGTGACTTCAAAACTTAAGGAGTTGAAAGGTGCACACAAACTCAACGATAAAGGTCAGGTAACTGACAAAGCTAATTTCAATGAAGTAAGTGGTAAGTTGAAGAGTGTTGTTGGTAAGAAGGTTGACATTGATGAGACGGGGAAGTTGACAAGAAAGGGCAAGAATCTTGGCTCTATTGATCCTGTTGTTGACGAGGAAGAAGATTCTGATGATGATTCTGATGATGATTCTGATGATGATTCTGGTGACGATTCTGAGGACAACTCGGAAGATGACTCGGAAGACAACTCTGATGATGAGTCTGAAAATAAAGAATCCTTGGAAGGCTGCACTGTTCGTGAAGACGGGAAGGTTGTTAACGATGAAGGTAAAGTCTTAGGCCAAGTTGTTGAAGGATCTTACAAAAAGTTCGAACGGTTGGTTGGCAAAAAGGTGACTCCAGATTACACCATTGTAAGTAAAAAGGGTAAGGAATTGGGCACTGTCGATGTGCTTGACGATGATGAAGATGGCCCAAACCAAGAAGAGCAAAACCTGAGCATGAACCGATTGAGTGGGTTGATTCGAAGCTCCATTGATAAGATCCAACCATTGACAGAAATAATCCAATCCAAGGTGAAGCAAGAAGAATTACCAGTTGACGAGCTAAACTCGGTAGCTACACGAGCAGAACGAATTATTGGTGAAGTTCGTGGAGGTATTAAGGCAATTGATCCAGAGGAACGCATTATCAAGGACGCCAAGAGCCAAGTTGATGGCCCTGGGGAAGCCAGCCAGTCGAGAGCAACAAGGTTTGGTAAATACTATTCAGGCACTTGACGAGCAAGAAGAGATTGTCCAGAATGCTCGGGAAAAGATGGAAAATTATGAACCTCCCGAATATGAGCCAACTGAGGAAGAAAAAGAAGAACAGCGACAATTGGAGGAAAGACGTGAAAAAGCATCGCAGATGTCACCTATTATTGACACTTGTATAGACAAGACCAAGCCGTTGTTGAACCAAGTCAAGCAGCACATGGAGAATGCCGACCGTGACCAAATGAATGACAATTTGGACGAAGAAAAGTTGATCAACAATGCCAAGCCATTGTTACAAGAAGCTACCAATATTTTGAACGAGACTTGGGGCGCCATTCGAGCATTGGATCCGGATGGCAAGGTCCAGAAACATGCCAAGGGCAAGGGTTCTGGTGAGGTGACTAAAGAAGAGTATTATTTGGCTGATCGGTTGACGTATCTCAGCGATCACGTGCAATCGTTTATTGATGATACTCGAAGCAAATTAGACAACATGCCAAAGGCCAAGAAAGACATGAGCCCGTTGTTGGATATGTTACACCAGCCATTGGTACAAATTATTAGTGCAGTGGGGTTGTTATTGTCCGGTGTGTTAGGGTTGGTAGGAAGTTTGCTCGGCGGACTTGGTTTGAACAGAATTTTTGATTCTGTGTTGAGTGGACTTGGTCTTGACAAGCTTTTGGGATGAGTACTTAATGTATTTTGTGTATTTGATTTAATTGAGATTGTTTGGTATTAAGTATTATTTCTATTTAAATTCGTAGACTTCTCATCAAAAAAGAGCACAGCTGATGATTTTCTGTATAGTACATAATCTCGCTTATGCGAGTTGCTGCAACACGCAGCAACAATACTTTAATGACAGGGAACTTTTTTGTAACCGAAGTCATAAACTGGAGAATTCTGGTGCTTTGAATAGATTAAAAATAAAAGAATAAAATATCTTTTGGTTTTTTTTGTGGTCTATTTTTGGTCAATAACACATAGTGACGGTTTTTACAAAATCTGAATTATTAGTGTATGCATTGATATGGTGCATGGAAGTGAGCTGTCAACATGCGAGTGAACCGTCTAGTGGATGGAGGATAGGAGGTACAGCAAGCTAAGGCAGGTGCAAAAATAATTATTTCTATTCGATACTCTATTTGGGAACTGTGTGGTATACATTAAGAGAAACAAACGATGAGATTATTGGCTCTGGTAGCTGTTGTAGAAATAGTCGACCTAATCAGACCATGCTAACAGATGTAATTCTTTCTTAAGCCGTCCTCCTTTTTTAATTTTGGACATCTGGTATTTTCCAAAGTTTCACCATTGATCTGCTTAATTTTCAATGTTTCTATGCCTCTACATCTTTCAACAACGATCTGATTCTCTTCTTCTGCCACGAGCATACACCCACAATGACACATTCTCAAAGGTATCACTTTTTTTTTGATGGCGATTCAGCTGGTTGTTCTTCGTCTTGTTGTTTTTGGTCACTCTTCTCCCTATTCTTGCATGAACAGTATGTTCCACTCCTCTGACACTGAAGTCATAAGCTTGTTTCTTTTCGAAATATTCCTTTGTTGATGCATGTGCGACTGGTGTATCTTTCAAGCTAGATGAGCTTGTCCAAGCTTTGGGATTTGCAAGCGACCAAATACAATTCGTGGTATTCCTTTAAATTAACAATTTACCACTAGCATGCCAATGCTTACATCCATCATCGAGCCTCAGTCTTGGTTACGTGGTGCACGTCAAGATATACTCCCCACATGGCGACTCACTCACCAAAGTTTTGGTAGCTTCGAAAGCAGTAACCTTTGAAAACTATTTTGACAGTCATAAACATCAACACTACTTTGCAAGTTATCAATACCGTCTACTAATACATAACTGGCATGTAAGGAATACAATATAATAGACCTTACCTCAGTTGGTAATGAGAAGATAGCGTTACCTCTGGCATAAAAAATGTTGTATCGGCTAGCATGTAACCATATACTACGGCAATTCTCTTGTAGAAGGATACCAAGTGATATCATGAATAGGACTAGATCTTTTCAAGTCGATCTCTTTGAGTCGTATGATGTTGCAACTCCAAATAAATAAAGGTTGGTTTGCTTTTGCAAGATTTGTTGGTAGAATTTTGATTGTAAGTGCCAATGCTGATAACTCAGTACAAACGAATTCCACTCTAATTGACATATTTCAGCTTTAAAGAAGTTCTTAACGCAAATTTGCTGATTGAAATTTGGTACGTAGTAAGATCACACTTGCTGGTTTACCATTCTTTCTGTAATAAAAATTGCAATGGATGGATTTAAACCCGATCTCTTTTGAAAGTTTTAGAAAAGGGCTCTAGGATCACTAAACTTATACTTATAGATGTATTAATTAACATTAACTAGAATTCGAGACATCAAGAAATGGAGTTCTTTGTGATTGGATTTTAGCAAAGAGCTTTCTGTCTTGTGAGAATTGTAGTTTCCATCCAACTAAATGTTTTTCGACCATTCGCTAATAATGCTATTAGAATTAATATTGAAGTTTTTCACATTTTTACTCCATATTCCACTTCCTAATCCCGTAAAATCGGTTTAAACCACAGCACAAGTAAGTTCCAGTGAAAAATATAAGTTAAAGACTTCTTGCAATCTTGCAAATCGATTCTAGTATGCAATCACCACTTTATTTGGTTGAGTATAAAAAATCTATCCTAAGGCTCAAATGTGCCAGAAGACTAGGAAACAAAAAAATTGGGGCGAGCTGGGAATTGAACCCAGGGCCTCTCGCATGCTTGTAGTAAACAATTTAGTTTCCTAAATTGTCGCCCAAAGCGAGAATCATACCACTAGACCACACGCCCGAATCTTATGATTATAAAATGTCGCGCGACAATAATATAGTACTATCTAATATTATTTCCCCCACACTGAATACATATAGAGCCACATTTGGCATCTTCGTCTCGCACTTTTCGTCCACTTAAATTAGTTGTTTTCTAACTATTTTGCTTCTTCCTAAATTTTATTAAAAAACAATCATGGTATTTGCTACTAAAGCCTTTAGAAGTTGCAGATCATTGCCATTGAGGCTTCATTCAAGATCCTCCTTAAAATGCAACACCAGACTTTATTCTTCAGCACCCACTAACTCCGGAGCTCTGTCGGTTATTAAATATGTGGCCGGTACTTTACTTTTTGGGAGTGGTATTTCCATGGGAATCTACTGGAATAAGGTGAACAGTTCCAAGGAGACGTTGCAGGATGATAACTCAACAAGTGTTCTCGAGAGTGTTACTCCAGCCCAATATGCCACTGAAGCAGAATTCAAGAAAGCTATCGAGGAAATCACCAAAATTGTTGGAAAGGTTAACATTAGTTCTGATAATGATGTTATCCTTGCCCATAGTGATTCGTTCTTCAGTACTCATCATCCTCCAAATCCGAGCCAACAGAAACCGCAAGTCGTGATTTACCCTAGTTCCACGGAGGAAGTAGCGGAAATTGTGAAGGTTGTGCACAAGTATCGTGTTCCTATCGTGGCAAGCTCCGGATTGACGTCATTGGAAGGCCACACTATGCATACTAGAGGCCCCATTAGTGTTTCGTTGTCGTTTGAGCGTATGGATAAAGTTCTTGCAGTTCACCCTATTGATCTTGATGCCGTAGTTCAGCCTGGTGTAGGATGGCAAGAGTTGGACGAATACTTACTTAGTGATAGTTCCACTGAGCATCTTATGCTCGGGCCTGATCCTGGTATTGGGGCAAGAATTGGTGGTATGGTTGGTAGTAGTTGTTCTGGTACAAATGCTTACAAGTATGGTACCATGAAAGAAAATGTTGTTAACTTAACTGTTGTGTTGGCGGATGGGACTATTATTAAGACTAAGCAAAGACCTAGAAAGTCTAGTGCTGGTTATGATATGACAAGATTATTTATTGGTTCTGAAGGTACTTTGGGAATTATTACAGAAATTACGGTCAAATTACATGTACGTGCTAAGCTAGAATTGGTGAGTGTAGCCACTTTTCCCACTATAGCAGATGCTGCAAGTACTGCTCAGGCTATTATCAAAAGTGGTCTTCAAATGAATGCCATTGAGCTTTTGAACTCTACCATGGTTTCGTTTGTTAACAAGTACGGTGGTGTTACTGACGAGAATGACGAACCCAAACAATTTCTTGAGAAACCAACTTTGCTTTTCAAGGTCGGTGGCCCATCGAAAACGGCAATTGATGAGCAACTCGAATTAATTGAAACTATTAGTAAAGAAAACCACTTGGTAAAGCTCGAAAGTTCTCACAACGAAGAAGAGAATGCCGTTTTATGGTCTTCCCGTAGAAGTGGTTTATGGTCGACCGTGCAATATGGATCTGAGATCCTCGAAGATAAGAACGATGTCCAGATCTGGACCACCGATTTTGCTGTACCTATTTCCCATTTAGCAAATGTTATTGCCGAAACAAATGATGATTTGAATAACCTGGGATTTCAAGATAAATTCTCTGTTTTGGGCCATGTGGGAGATGGTAATTGCCATTTCCTAATTGTATATAATTCTAAAGACTATAATAGAGTTAGTGAAGCAGTCGACAGAATGGTTTTCCGTGCATTGAAGTATGAAGGTACCTGTACCGGAGAGCATGGAGTTGGTGTTGGTAAGAGAAAATACTTAAACACTGAACTTGGTTCTACCACTGTGGATTTAATGAGACATATTAAGTTACTGATGGACCCTAGAAGAATCTTGAACCCAGACAAAATATTCAAACTTGATTCCACTGATACTTTAGACGAACAATTAGAACACGGAGATATCAAAGCAGTTGGTGCTCCTTGTTGTAGCTCATAGATTTATATAGTATATACATAAAAATACAATTTGATGTTTCGTCTTACAAAGTTGCAAATGGACTGAGCTCGTGATTAATATTTTTTTACATATCGCAAGAAGTAGACACATTTACGCTAATACTTGTTTATCATACAATAGTAAGGATGGTTTGGGTAGATGCATATCCTACGTCACTGATTGCTTTAACTGGAAATGAGCCTATTCTTAAACTTATTCGTATCCCACATACACCGCTAATTGGGTTGTTGACTAAATCAAGTTTGTTGATTTACAATCAGCATACTTTATTGTTAGTAGCACATCATAGAAGAACCGACGAGTCATTGCAACAACACGGAGAAAATAATAATGTAAAATGCAAATATATATCAGTTAACAGTGCTCAACTACAACAATTGGCTATGGTAAACCTCTTTGTTGAAACTGATTTAAGCTGTTTGGTGATTTACCAAGTCATGATAAACTATTCGAAGTCATTATACGAAGTACATAATAAGCAAAACGATGAATTATTACAAACAGGTTTACCATTAAGTTTTACTTCACATAAATTTTCGTTGGTCAATATGATAAAATCAGCAACAAAGACTATTATGCAAGGAAATCAGGTGCTGGTAAATTTGGAGAATATAGAACATTTTAATAACTGTTCCATTGAGGATGAATTAGGTAATTTTAAGATTGAATATGTGAAGTTGTCAATCTATAAAATATTGAAAATTGGTATTGGGATATCAAAATATTGGATTAAACAAAATTCCCATAATATTCTAGTTTTTAATGATAAGAACGAAAAATGTTCTGGTGAACATGCTCAATCATTGCCAGAAGATGATAATTATTTCCAACTCATAAACATAAAGAATTTTAAGAATGAAGTGTTCCAATTATCCGAACTTGAATGGTATGACAACGATTCGAATATTATGTATATTACATTCAACTACTATGGAAACTTCATCTTATTGATTAATGAAAAAAACCAAATTTGGTATATGAAATTTGAACAAGGTGAAGACCTGGAAGTTAAAATAGTTGGTCAGAAAGTATACGATTTTAATAAAGTAGAAACACCAGAATACAAAATATCATTCAATCCACATTTTGACTTGGTTTTAATAAGAATCGATCTCAAAATTAAACTATTTAAATTCCACCAAAAGAAAGCTAACAATTCATTGGACTTTGTCAAAGATATTGACTTTGAATTTACTAATGGTGAGATTGAAATCTCCTGGTCACCATGTGGTATGTTTGTCGTTGTGTTTAACAAAGATTCTGGGTATTGGTCAGTCTACTCAAGGTTTGGCAATAGATCCTTTGACTCTTTTGAAATCTTAAATGAAGCAAATTCCCGGAATAATTCTGACACTAACGTAATTACAAATTTCCTAAAAGTTTCAAGCATTTTAATTACTTCTAACTCAAGCCAATTGATATTAATGGATAAAGATAAGACCCATTTATATTTGGTTGATTTATTGTCGTTAGCAAATGGGAATCACTTGGCTGGAACCAGTTCAGATTTAATATTTTACAATAATGAATATATTAGTATATTATCCAACTATAGCCCCAATTCCTCAAATAATTTCACTCGATTTCCATTGTTGCCTATATTTAAGGATATAATCAGAAAGATTGAATACTTTAATGGTTCACGTTTATCCGTTAAACATCAAAGTGGAAAATTGCAGTTCTCTTCTAATAGATATAAACAAATATCGATCACATATGGAAATCACATTGCAGTTTCTACTCCATATAGCAGTGGAGTTGATGTTAACCAGATATTATGGTTCAATTTCCGTGACTATTACGTTGAATCTCTTAATATAATTGAACATTTTTGGTTTGATGATTATTTAATCCTATTTAATAGAACAACACAGGATGATAATCTTGTGGATGAAATTATGGTCTTGGATACTTCGCTATCAAAATTCGGGCATGGCGGTACAAACTTCAACTTTGACAGTGATTTAATTATTTGGAAACACAACTTGAATAGTAGAGTTATTTGTTATGAATTAGGTGACCGAGATGAGGTTACACTGAAGGCAGATGGAATCAATCTAAGTAAGAATTTAATTATTGTAACAGGTGATAAGAAAATAATTATATTCGAATTATCAAAATATGAGTCAAGTATGCTTATCAAGAAGCGCTTGCAAAGTGGAAACTCGCGTCCAAATCTGGATGATCAGGATGATTCAGATGTTAAGAACTATAAGATTTTCATTGGCTTAAGTAAAACGGTTCATTTGAATAGCATTGAAGATAAATTGGCCATAGCTGACATCAGCCAAGTTAACGTGGTGAACAATAAGCATTTCTTGTTATTATTAAATAATGGGGATTTATTTTTGTTGAAAAACTACTCTTCAAAGCCGTCGCAAGATGAGCCAACGGGTGCGTTGAAGCAACCAAGTAACATTTACGAATTAATCAAAATCAAGGATTCAATTGAGTGTTATCAATTACAGTCCATCAACTATGTCAAACAGAGTAAGATTTCCTACTTGTACCTATTCAATGGTGAGTCCTTATTGATTTATAATTTAGTAGAAATGATTGATCTGGCATTTGGCAGTCATCATCGCGTACCTGATAGCATTAATGATGTGGAACCTCAAATGGTTGAGCCAATTAGCATCGAGGTGCACGATTTTCAACCACTTATAATCGAAAACACCATTTGCGAGAACTCAGCTGGTCTTAAGTCAATTGATCTCATAGGGTTGGAAAGTCTCTCGTTTTACAAAAACAATTATTTGATTGTGAAAAACAAAGTGAACCACAAGTTAGTTCTAAACAATTTCATAGAATATGACGTCTCCACGAAGTTCAATATTGAATCAATCTTGCTCAAATATCAGTCATTCAACAACTTTGATTACTGTCTCGAATTGCTACTATTTAACTATCTAACCTCGAATATTTCCGAACATCTTTCCAAGATCATTGACCTAATCAACCACACAAAACTGCCCGAGTCTATCTACATCAACTGCTTGAGAAAAATAGAAATTGCATACTGGCAGACATTTTTTGAATACTTGCAGACTACCCCATTCGACTTCATGAACAAACTCATTGAAATCGGCAACGTCGAATTGTGCTACAACTATCTCATCATTTACCTTAACTTCAAGAAAGAGCACGACGACACCTCGTCCGATATTTCATTAGATTCTCATGACACAGAAATCATACTAAAAATCATCAAAATGCTTGATAAATCTCAAAAGTGGGACTGGTGCTTTGAGCTTTGTAGGTTTATAAAACTCCTAGAGCCATCGGGCCATCTATTGAAGCAAATCGAAGTAGTACTTAGTAGTTAGAAGAATAGACATAATGATTGCAAATTATATGGTGAGTGCACGACTAATTTTTTTCGGCTGGTTAAGAAGCCCGGTGAGTCTCGCTTTAACCAACCAAAATTCATCTTTTTGAACTTCATAATAGTACTATAGTCAAGACCAAGCCAGTAAACCGTTCATACAAACGATAAAATGACATTAGCTACTGAATTCGCAGAGACTACACGTCGTTCAGCTACTAATTCTGAATTAAGATTGAGAGTTTTGCACTTATACCGTAAATACATGAGACATTCCAGAGATTTTTGTGATATTTATGAATTGGATATGCCAGTTTCCAACGTCAAGACCAAGATTAGACAAGAATTCGAAAGACAAAGATACGTCAAGGACTTGGCAGTGAATAACGTTTTATTGATGAAAGGTCAAATGGAATTCCAAGAGTTGATCAATTTCTGGAAACAACAATGTCATGTCTTAAGGTACTTTGAAGATCAAAGTGACTACGGAGTGGTTGACAAGAACGATTTTGTTAAAAATTTCTTAAGAGGCAATTAGATAGATGTATCATAGTTGGTTGCTTGTGGTTGAACTTGCATTTTTTTATATGGATAGTATATCCAGTCATATTTCTTAGAGACGGTCGACTTGGTGAGCCGGCCGTCAATCTTTATACTAGTATATTATAATGAACATTCACTAATGGTAAGAGGTGTAGAAATAATACAGCGAAAGTAAGAATTAAGCAATATATAAACCTATAAACCAAAACATTATATAAATAATATATAAGTAATCACACTAAAGGGACAAAAATAGAGAAGGAAAGAAACGAGGAAAAATTAGGGTATAAACAATTATATATATTAAAAGAGAATTATGTTTATTCTAAGCCATCTTCTAATGGAACTTCATCAGCATAATCCAATTCTTCTTCGTCATCAACACCGGCATCCTGGTATTGTTGGTATTCACTGACCAAGTCATTCATGTTAGACTCAGCTTCAGTGAATTCCATTTCATCCATACCTTCAGAAGTATACCAATGTAAGAAAGCCTTTCTTCTGAACATCGCACTGAATTGATCACCAACTCTCTTGAATAATTCTTGAATCGAGGTAGAGTTACCGATAAAGGTAGCGGACATGTCCAAATCCTTTGGAGGAACAGAACAAACAGCAGTTTGCACGTTATTAGGAATCCATTCGACGAAGTACGAAGAGTTTCTAGTTTGAACCTTGTGCATCTCATCGTCGACTTCCTTAACGGAAACCTTACCTCTGAAGAAAGCGGCCACAGTTAAGTAACGACCATTTCTTGGATCAGAGGCAGCCATCATATTCTTCGAGTCAAACATTTGTTGAGTCAATTCAGGAACGGTTAAGGATCTGAATGACTGGGAACGTATGGAGGTTAATGGAGCGTAACCAACCATGAAGAAATGCAATCTTGGGAAAGGAACCAAGTTGACGGCTAATTTTCTTAAGTCAGAGTTCAATTGACCTGGATAACGTAACGAGGTGGTGACACCAGACATAACGGACGAAACCAAGTTGTTCAATTCGGCGTATGATGGTTGTGGTAATTTCAAAGTTTTTTGACAAATGTTATATAAGGCTTCGTTATCAATACAGAAAGTTTCATCAGAGTTCTCCACTAATTGATGGATCGACAAGGTGGCGTTATAAGGTTCGATAACGGTATCAGAAACCTTTGGTGATGGAACAACCGAGAAAGTAGCCATCATTCTGTCTGGGAACTCTTCTCTCATTTTGGATATCAATAAGGTACCCATACCTGAACCAGTACCGCCACCAAGCGAATGGGTGATCTGGAACCCTTGTAAAGAGTCACATCCTTCTGCTTCTCTTCTAATCACATCCATGACCGAGTCGACCAATTCTGCTCCCTCGGTGTAATGTCCCTTGGCCCACACGTTACCAGCACTACTCTGGCCAAAAATATAGTTGTCTGGTCTGAAAAGATTTCCGATGTTCGACGTCTTGACCCCGTCAATGGTGCCCGGTTCCAAATCCACCAATACCGCACGAGGGACGTATTTACCTGAGCTGGCTTCGTTAAAATACACGTTAAGCTTAGATTTTTGGAGATCGTCTTCTCCATGGTAGTTACCATGGTTATCCAATCCGTGTTCACCACAAATGGTCTCCCAAAACGCAGCACCCTATAATGTTAGTATATCATTCTGTGCGTATCGCATAGAGGACACTCTCACTTCAAACAAATTTTATCCAAAGCAAAGCACCTCTTCCCTCTTTAATTCTCAATACATACAATTTGGTTACCACATTGACCAGTAGACAAATGAATCTATATAAAATGTTAGTATTCTGACTTCCTAAAATTCTTCTTCGGCGCGTCTTTCTCCTGGTGGCATCACCGATCTCGCCAGCGCTTAGGGGAGTAAATTGTTGATAAAAACTACTTACAATTTCTCTCATATTATGCTGTCTATAATTCTGAATTCACTTGGTATATAGCAATGCTTTTCAAACTATAAATCCTCCGGTAAATGAATTCTTTATACTTCGTTTAATACGAATAGTATCAGATTGACGTTTGTTTTGAATTTTGTTGATGTTTATATTTGGTAAATACACGCACATTTTTGTGTGAGTTTTGTGTAACTGTTTTTTTATTACCCCGATTAGGCAATATGATAGGCGGTGGGTGGTATAGACGAAGAACGAGACAGTGCAAACCATACTAGGTGTGTTGATCAAGGGGGTCAGGCTAGGGTAGGTAGATTGTTGTGGATGAGAGGAAATCTGCAGGAATCTGGGGAAGAGAAGTGCAAATGAAGAAGAAGGATAAGAGGTAATGTTTGATGTAGTATGTAGGTGTGTGTGGGTGTAAGTGCAGTTGGAATAATTGCGTTGTAAGGTGGTCTAGTTTATGGTTGTTGTGATAGCCCAGTTACTTAGTTGTTTTTTTGGTTATGTGTTGGTGTAGTTGGAGTAGTTGGTTTATTCATTCGCGATGTGTGTTGGTAGGACAAAAGAATGCTCAATTGATTAAATTTTGCAATCATTTCTAAAAATTCTAATTATACATAAAAACATGCTAACGCATAAAATATATACAGAAAAACACAGCAATAAAGGCCCAATCCAACAGTCAGATGCAAGACCCAACGGGTAATCTTTCAGTCCATATTATCTACGTGTGATTTGGTCAACTCGTATGATATTTGTCCCCCCTCACTTTCCTTGTAAAAATTCAAAATATCCAAAAGAACAAGCAGTAATCTAAAACCACTTCAATACCCATAAATCACAATGAATATCCCTTAGTCTTCTCATACCCTAGCATTTTTATTAGTTGCTCATAAATCATATTTAATTTCTTTTTCGTATTTAATTTTTTATCTTGTTAAGTGTACTCTTTCAGCATATTTTACATTCATTATGATTTATAGCTTTCATATGTGTATCTGCAAAACTATTGACATCTAATTTTGCAGCAGTAATATTTTGTAAATCCAGAACAATATATACATATTCTTGAATATAATGTTTATCAAATTCGCATTATATTGCTTGAAGTATATACTTATTATTCTTTGTTATAATACAATATTCTTGCACATATTTACCTCTAAAATCTCTATTTAACAAATCATTTTTAATTTCATCTTCTGAAGTTATCTTTACATATTTAAGCTCATTATCTAAAAAATCTTGATCACCTTCGTCAAAAGGTTTAATTTTTGTTTATCATCAAGTATGTATACTAATACATTCATATTATAATCCTATATTGTTCTGTATATAATGCGCAATTAGTATTAGGTTACATATGAATTAAAACATAGACCTTTCCATCATATGGAAAAGCTTCTTATACACCAGCATTTCGTTCCTGGTGTAAGGGGAGGCTGGCAGAACAGAACGGGACTAGTCCTGCACATAGAACCGCAGCCCAACCACTTCCACCTAGACTAATCGAACCCATTTGCTGTTATCATCAGATGAAAAGTGCAAAAACACCATAAAATAGAGGCAATCATGGCCAGTAATATTCAAAATAGGACGTTTGAGTTCCAACAGTGCATATCATCGTTCGACAAATTAAACAAAAAGAATAATGTGGGCCGAAATCCATCACAAACTACGCCGGCTAGGAAAACTCAGTTCAGCCAACAGGCCAGTATTATCGCTAAAGATATTGCCCATACCACCGAGCTTTTGAGTAAGCTCGCTTTGCTTGCCAAGAGGAAACCACTCTTTGACGATAAACCCATCGAGATCGGAGAACTTACATACGTTATCAAACAGGACATTTTCAAGATCGAAGAAAACATCACATTGCTTCAGAAATACGCTAAGGGGGAGTCGTCGATCCAAATAGACTCGCAAGTGACGCAGTACTCAAAGAACGTATTGAACTTATTAAACTCAAAGATGAAGAATATCAGTGGGGAGTTTAAGAACGTATTGGAAATCCGTCAGAAAAACGAACTCATGAACAAAAATAGAACAGAGCACTTTTTATCGGCGGCTACAAACAACCGCGCCAGCAACAACCACTCGCCTTTGACCGACCTCTCACCTCAGCTGTCAAACAACAACAATTTATCGGGATTGGGCGAAAACCCGTACCTTATGCAAGCACAGAGTAATGGGCTGGCTCAGACGACATACGACCCAGATTTGGACCAAGATGCATACTCAAACTACAACAACGGCGAGTTCTTATCGATCCCTGACCAAACTAGACAGTTATTGCTCATGGAAGAACAAGGAAACCAGTACTTACAGGAGAGAAATTCTGCCGTGGAAACTATAGAATCAACCATCAACGAAGTGGGGAACCTATTCCAACAATTAGCATCGATGGTTAGCGAGCAGGGTGAGGTAATCCAGAGAATCGATCTGAATGTCGAAGACATCAACATGAATATCTCTGGTGCCCAGAGAGAATTATTAAAATATTACGCTCATATTTCGAGTAATAGGTGGTTGTTTTTGAAGATTTTCGGTGTGTTAATAATGTTCTTTTTAATATGGGTCCTTGTTAGTTAATTAGTTACAGTATCCTATAATATATACCCTTGTACACTAGCATTTCGTCTCTTCTTGTCGGTTTCTTGTCGTCGGTGTCCGGTTGAGTACTAAAGTCGTGCACATACCGCAAACCCACAATCGAAGCCCATAGATGAGTGATTGATAAACTAATTACCGATATAATACTGTAAATTTGGTTTAGCTTTCACAAATTAGGCTAAATATAGATCAAAGCGTTTTGTTTGCATCGCATCTATAGTGAACAGTAAGTTTTAATAATATCCGAAGAAAATATCGTGGCAAAAATAAATACATCTCGAATATTGCCCCTGCTAGCGATAAGACGCCGAAAAGACATTAATACTAACAGAGTGATAGAAAACTATACCAGATATATAGAAGTCGCTGTGATTTATTAATTTACTTATAACTAACTATTTTTTGCATAAGACAAGGAAATAAAAATGTGGAATTATTTATTTGGCGGAAACAATCAGCAGAAGAAGGAGTTTCCGAAGAAAGCCATTGTGGAATTACGTGAGCACATCCAGATGTTGAATAAGAAGCGTTCACATTTGGAACTGCAGATCGCTGACCAGGATGCTTTAGCACGGAAATACATCACGACAAACAAAGCATTGGCGAAGAACGCGTTGAAGAGAAAGAAGGGTTACGAGGCAAACTTAATGAAGATAGAGAACCAAATCGACTCTTTGGAGACGCAACTTACGTCAATCGAGGGAGCAAACTTGAATTTGGAAACTATGAAGGCCATGAAACAAGGTGCACAAGCTATGAAACAAATCCACGGCGAGTACGACGTAGACAAGGTTGAGAATACCATGGACGATATCAGAGAACAAGTCGAGTTGGCGGACGAAATATCCGAAGCCATATCCAGACCGGTGGGCACGGAATTCGTCGACGAGGACGAATTAGACGAAGAACTCGCCATGTTACAAGAGGAAGAAAAAGAACAAAAACAACAAACTCCCGCTCAGAAAGCTCCTGCCGCAAAGGTCTCGGCCCCCGAAGAGAATATGCCAGACTTCCCTACTGTAAACAAGAACAAGCCTACTGCTTCCACCGAAGATGACGAGGACGAAGAAGCTTTGAAGGCGTTACAAGCAGAAATGGGTCTTTAATCCATCTCACATATACATATTACTACTTGGAGTTATTTTTGTTTTATATCATTGCAATACCGGGTCCGCGATGAAGAGTATGGCTGACGATTGTACTATCCTTCTCATACCTTGTCATTTTCTTCTATCTATCCTATCTCTCATCCATCTCTTCTCGTCTCTTTCTTTCCCTGATTTCTTTCCCTTCTTTCTATTTTGCAATCAGAATGTCATCCCCTCTATAACGCTCATCTAATACTTTAATTCTCTGTATGAATACCTGTTTATGAATGTAATGAATAGATATCACTTATAAGTCTTCCGTATGTAGAGATGAAAATACTGCACAGAATTTTTTTTTTTTTTTCTCTTTCTGCTAAAATTCACTGCTACAAGATGGCGGCAGTGAAGTGAAATATTCTTGTATTCTTGGTTAGATATCTTATTTAGCATAATATTCATCATAGTAGAGTAGCTGAGTATGATGCTCCAAAAATTATCTAGGAAGCACATAGTGCTTGACTTGGTTCGGCGCTACGGTGTTGAGAATCAAAGATTGCAAAGCATAAGATCAACTACTACTATCACAAGATCAACAGGTTTACCAAGTGAAAGTTTTCCTATTTATAATTCATTCTTGGAGGATTTAAAAAACAGAAAGGATATTCCTGGGAGAAATGCCCTTTATAACAAGTCATTTTCAGAGATAAATGGAGATTTATTGAATACGATTTCGAGAGAAGAAACGCAAGAGGTTGCATGGTCATCCCAATATGACCCGGTATCAAGATCGCCGTTTGCAAAAGATGTTGTCCATTTACAATCGCTTTTGGATGCATTATTGTCGAGTAAGAACTTTGATAGGGCCGATAAGATATTGAAAGCAATTTATCCGCTCTTATCATCGCAAGAGAACTTTATATTTTCGCTCAATAAGTACTTAGAAGCATGGTCCTTTGAAAGCTCCACATCGATAATAGAAATGGAGAACTACTTGGATAGTATCCAACACCAATTTAAAGATGTGGTTCCAAATGATAGAACATATGCCATCTTGATTTCAAAAGCCATAGATGACGAAAAAACCTGCATGTCATACATCTCTAGAATAAAGTCTAACACATCGATGATAAGAAAGGTCTTTACTCATATAGATATCATTGGTGTAGACGGTTTGATGAAAATTTTTAAAGATCCATCCATTACTGAAAATCTTATTCCGAAGGATCTCTGTCCCTTATTTGCACAAGTGAGAAAGCTAGACGGTAGCGGCAACATGAATGACGCCTATTCCGAGGAGAATGTTCCTGAATATTTTAAAGATACTGAACTGAGCGTGCCAATTGTTGAAAAGGACTCTGATTCTTTAAAAGCCGTCGATTCGTTTGGTTTGAAAGTTATTAGGCATACACTTTTGGGGTTGAAGACCGATAATAACTCACCAGTGCTAGAAGAGTTTATTAATAATATTGAAAGTGAAATGAGTAACCATGTCTTGCATAACACCTCGAACCAAGAGAAGAAAGATTATTTTGCTGTTTATAAGTGCTTAAAAACTGACGAACAAAGAGAGAAATTCAATGAAGCCTTAGATTTATTTAACGAGGGAAGACAGAGACAGTTAGAATTGAGAGGTGTTGACGGAGCTAAAGAAAAATGGAAGCATGAATTCGAAGATATGCAGAAAAGAGGTGCAATTAATCTTCATAAGAGTCTAAACGTACAATTATTCAATGGTATTCTGATTTATTGCCATATGTTGAAGAAGAAGTGAACCAATGTAAAAAGATATTAGACGGTGAAATTTCGTTGGACAACGTTAAACCTGATGCAAAAAATCTTATGAAGGATAGAGCATACTATGCGCCATATTTGACTTTGATCCCACCTAAAAAAATGTGCGTTATAACCATATTGGAACTATTAAAGTTAAATTCTACTGGTGGTATAGTTGATGGGATGAGAACTGCAAGAGCGGTTATATCTGTCGGAAAAGCACTTGAATTAGAATATAAATCACAAAACTTAATGAAAGCCGAAGGTAGATCGCTTTCGAAAAAGTTGAAAACAACTAACCAATGGAAAAAGATTTTAAGACAAAGAAGAGATTACAATAAACAAGATCCAATAGCAAATAATGAGTGGGATTATCCAATTTATGCAAAAGTTGGATCTGTATTAACATCATTATTGATACATGTTGCTACAGTTCCTGTCAAGGGTACAGATCCAACGACAGGAAAAGAAGTAAAGGGTATGCAACCCGCCTTCCATCATACCTACCAATACCTTCAAGGTCAAAGATTAGGTGTTTTAAAGGTACATAAGTCTTTAGTGCGGCAATTGGCTGGGAATGTTTTGGGTAATTCTGTACAACCACAAATGTTGCCAATGTTGGTACCTCCTCGTCCATGGACCAGCTATAATGACGGGGGATATTTGTTTTCCCAAAACAGTTTAGTCAGAATCAAAGATTCTGCTGAAACAAACGCATATTTGAAGGCTGCTTCTGATTTAGATAATTTGGAAATTTATGATGGATTAAATGTGTTAGGTAATACGGCATGGACTGTGAACCGTAATGTCTTCAATATTATTTCTAAGTTCTGGAATACAGGAGAGAAGTTTTTAGATATTCCACCTATTGTTGAGGAACCTGAATTACCGAAGCCATTACCAATGAATGCCGAACCATCTGAAAAAGCCGATTATCAACGTAAAGTGAGAAAGGCTATGAATGAAGCAGCTTCGGCAAGATCCCAAAGATGTGATACCAACTACAAGTTAGAAATTGCTAGGGGCTTCTTAGGTGAAAAGCTTTTCTTTCCTCATAACGTCGATTTTAGAGGTAGAGCTTATCCATTATCAGCGCATTTCAATCATTTAGGTAATGATATGACTAGGTCATTGTTTTTATTTTGGGATGGCAAAGAGCTTGGCGAAGAAGGTTTAACGTGGTTAAAGATACATCTAGCCAATGTCTATGGTATCGATAAAGCTCCCTTACACGAAAGAGTTCAATTTGTTAATGATAATTTGGAGAATATCTTCGAGTCAGCCAGAAATCCAATAAATGGAAGTGGATGGTGGATGAAGGGGGAGAAGCCATGGCAAGTATTGAGTGTTTGTTTCGAAATGAATGAAGCTTTCCAGTTAGATGATCCAACTAAATTCGTTTCACATATTCCTGTACATCAAGATGGTACTTGCAATGGTTTACAACATTACGCTGCTTTGGGAGGTGATTTCGAAGGTGCACGTCAAGTGAATTTGATTCCAGCTGACAAACCTCAGGATGTTTACAAGTTCGTTGCAGGGTTAGTTCAAAAGAGAGTTGATGCCGAAGCAGAAGCAGGAAACAAATATGCGATTTTCTTACAAGATAAAATTACTAGAAAAGTTGTTAAACAAACTGTTATGACAAATGTGTACGGGGTTACTTTTGTTGGTGCAGTTCTTCAGATTCAAAAGCAAATTGATCATTATTTTGATAAGAATGATACAGAAAATGTCGATGAATATGCAAGATATTTAACGACTCATGTATTTGCATCTATTAGAGAATTATTCGAAGGTGCTCATTTAATTCAAGATTGGTTGGGTGAATCTGCTAAAAGAATTAGTAAATCTGTCCGTATTGACTATGAAGAGAAGAGCTCTAAAAATTTAAACAAACCAAGTCATTTATCTTCAGTTATTTGGACCACACCATTGGGATTACCATGTGTCCAACCATACAGAGTTACGAAGAAACAAATCATTTCCACAAACTTGCAAGATATTGTTATTTCAGATCCTTTTGGTGCTAGTCAAGTCGATGCTAGAAAGCAGCAAGCAGCATTTCCACCAAATTATGTACATTCCTTAGATGCAACGCATATGTTGATGACCGCCAGGGCCTGCGCAGAACTGGGATTGTCTTTTGCATCTGTTCATGATTCATACTGGACGCATGCAAGTGATGTGAATACTATGAATAGCCATATCCGTGAGCAATTTGTAAAATTGCACGGTGAAAACTTAATTACAAAGATCAGAGATGAATTTGAAAGACGTTATAAAGGTTTCTTGCAGGTTATTATAATACCAGGAGACCACGAAGTCGCTAAAAAAATTAAAGACGTTAGAAGGAATATTGTAAAAGATTTAGGCAGAGCTTTGACTGTTGCTGATGAAATTTACTTGGAAAAGAAGAGACAGCAATTATTAGATTCGGATGATCCAAAAGTTGTAGAGATGGGTCAGAAAATGGTTACTACTGTCAGCGTTACGGAAGGAGTAGACATGAATAAGTTAGCTGTAAGTGCTGCCTCTAGGAAAGCCATGCAAGTGTTAGCTCCTTTAAAGTTTCCTGAAATTCCAAAGAAAGGTGATTTAGATGTCAGCATCGTTAAAGACTCACCATATTTCTTTTCATGATTGATGATGCATTTTTGTACATATTATTTTACATTGTCCACATACAGTTTCTTTCCGATTAATGTCAGAACTGTAAATTTGTACATACTTGTCCATATAGATTAAATACGATAAATTAACATAATATTTAAAAATGTGTATTTGAAAACTATCATAGCTATATAATTTTTCCTTGCTGTTCAAAATTCTCTATTAACGGTAACAATGGTTCTAATTCCTTCCTGTCAATCAAATTAAATTCCTTTATGAAGCTAATAAAATGGGCGAAGAAAGAATTCCAGTGGGCTTCTAATGATAAATGTACTATCTTGTCAAATTGATTGTGATATATGAAAGCAAATATTCTGAGCATTTGTCTTGATATGTTTTTGCAATCCTTCAAGAAATTTGGTGGGAAAGCACCCCCATTCTTCGTAGGAAATATTGATTGATCGTTCAACTTGCTTGATATCCATGTCAAAACGTAGTCAATATATTGGCTTGCTGGTAAATTAATTGCTTGACCAGTAGCATCAACCCACATGTAATTCGTATTTGGACCCGCATTCATAGTTGGAAATGCCTCTGGAGTAACATGATCCGCAATAACTCCATAAAATTGGTTTAGATTATTATACAGCTCGAATATATTCAACGCTATCCACTCATTAGAATCCACATATTTAGGAAGTTGAACAATAGTTTTGAATGATCCTTTCACTAACGCGGTTTTCACGAATGGCTCGCATAAGAATAGTGGTAATTGTGCTTGTGATGTTTGTGTTTGAGAACCTTGTTGACGACGTGGCAGCTGGTTCTGTTGATTATGCGTATTTCCCAGTGTACGGCCTCTTCTGGTAGGCGACTGATTTGCAAACTGTATTTGATTTGAGCTTCGTGGTTTGCTTGGTGAATATTTATTTGGCGAATACTTACCTGGAGACTGTGATCTTCTTATTGGTGAGCCAGATGAATTATTATGTGAATATATCGATGCTGGAGTATCCAAATCCTTCTTATTCTTCTTGGAGCTTCTGCCTAATCCTCTGATCGTATTTAGAAATGACATTGTTTATGACCTGATCTGTGAAAATATACGAAAATATATGAATAAATGAATGAATAAATAATAAATATGAAACAAGGAAAGCTTCAGTATACAAATTTCTTAACTGACAACAATTTCTTTGAATATGGTTTTCAGAAAGAGTGTTACTAGAACAATAGAAACAGGTTCTAAACATTAAATGAAAAAAAAAAGGAGTATTCGATTTGTTCACGTGCAAGATCAACAACACGATTTTCTTGTTTAATATGAAATGAATAATGAATTAAAATAATAAACACCTTATAACCTATCTATAGAAAGAATTAGAACTTTATTCGAATCTACCTAATTGTTCACCCATCTTAACTTTTTGGCCAATTTCTAAATCGAATTTGAAGTTATCTGGAGCTTCAAAAATCAAGACAACTGTAGAACCTAATTTGAAGCCTCCTACTTCTTGACCCTTAGTTAAAGGATACCCACCTAAAAGCCTACTAGCTTTAGTATACGTAGCCTCATAGACAGTATTTTTCTTCAATTTCTTACGCTCACTAGAAGAGGTGGAAGTGGTCGATACGGTTGATATGTCTGTCGAGGATTCATCAGAATTGTGCAATAATGGGGTATTTTCATTACTGGACGAAGAGCTTCTCAGATAGACTTCATTTTCGTAAACATCATTTGTTTTCAAGTCTTTATCAAAGTTCACGACTATACTTCCAACATTAGTGGCACCAACTGGAATCATTGAAAAGAAGCCGTACTTCCAGTAACCCAATAACGCTACTCTCTCGTTTAAAACAAACAACCCCTGTAAGGTCTTTTGAAAAAATGGGGCCACCGAAAATAATTCACCAATGAAGTGGCGTCTTAAGGTCGTAACCCAGTTTGTTGGCGAATGGTAACGATGGTAGTCACCCGGAGCCAAGTAAATAACAGCAAAGTATAATTGTTTATTACCATTAAAATTGTCTAACGTGGTTGGGGCGACACCCTGGGCGACCGCAAGTTCCTTGGAAAACGAGGATTTTGATCCTTTTGCTGTCCCATCACCTTCATCTTTATAGTCTAAATCATTCATATGATACGTATCGCCTGATTCACCACCAAGTAAATCATCAACCGAATATGATATGCCATTGATCTTCGCAAATTCTTCGTCTCTTCTCATAACGGAGTCATCATCAGTTTCGTGGTCAAAATCAAGCGAATGAGAAGGAGCTGCTAATCTTTCTGATTTCAACCCAAGCAACGCATCAATTGAGTATGTCATACCCTTCACCTGTTCAATTTCACCATTCTCTATGACTCCGAATTTTAAAACTTTTCCGTCAGATGGAGAAACCACTTCTGAATCGGCAATTGGCCTAACCCCTGGCTTCAACTTTCTATAGAAAAATTCAGACAAGTTGTTGTACGTTGTTAAATCCGGTTCATCCATCTCTTCTAAATTGACACCAAATATGGTAGAATACAACTTATAAGATGGGCTTCTCAACCAAATTGGTAAATTGATGGAGTTGAATTGTCCCCACAACCTCGAAATCGACTTCAATGGTAAAGTAGAATAAGCATACAAGTGCCACGATTGTGGTTTTATAGCGTATTCATTGAAGTGCTGGTCCTTATCACCTCGTTCGTAGTGTATTTTTGCTGCAACACCACCTAACACAATCGTCAACGAAGTTAACGTCCACCATCTGATAAACTTTCTGCGTTGTTGTCTCTTTTTACGTGCCTCCGTTGAGAAGAATCGTTTGTGGAGATTCTTCGTCTTGTTCTTCAACTTCTGGTTGGCACTCGAGAACAGCCTTCTGGATATTCTGATATAAGGAAGCTTCAATTTCTTCTGACTTGAAGCCAATCTGGTTCCTTTAGTCCATGTCGAATAATACAATACATTTCTCTTAGGTCTTGGAATCTTTGGAAATGGATAGTAATATGACCCAAAATTTCTCTTTTGTTGTACTTGTCCTTCAAGTGTCTTTTCTGCAACTAAAGAGGCTCTTGATAACGGTTGTGATATATTCATAGTGTGTGGTCCGTATGAAAAAGTAGAAGAGTTATACCTCATTTTATAACCGAAACTAGGTTTCAGGTATATAGAGGAAGGTCTGAATGGCATTCTTAACATACAATGTAACCTTCTACTATATCAAAATTCTACAGAAATAGAATTGATAATGATGAAGATTTTGTATTTATTTGTCTTGTGAATTTGGTATTTTCCATAATGAAGTGTCGCACTACAAAAATTTTACGGTCGTCTTGCACCAAAACAATAACATGATAACTTTACGTGTATTATAATAAAAAAGACGGCTATGAATTGGATAATTTCCAGATATTCTGTTTAAGCTGTTCTATAAAGCCCAAACTAATGAAATGTAAATTGTCATTGAGTAGCCTATCAGTAAATGCAAAAATGAGTTTTAAGTTCCACAATTCATCAATAGTCTTAGGCTTTGTAGCCATTAGTTGCATTTCAATCTTATTATCAATGATATTGAAAATTGACAAGCCCGAATTGTTTGTAAGCGAATCATATTCTCCTTCATTTTCACTACTTTCATAGAGAATGATCTGCTTTTCAAAGGTATTGAGCTTTTTCATGAACTTTAAGTCTAGCAATTTTGAGACGTCGCTGTTTATGCGGACCTCACCATTATCAACCTGGAGCTTTTTGTTTTCATTGTTCAATAAGGTTCCAATAGACGTCTTCAAAAGTTGATAATTACGTCTTTTATATACAAATATGGTGAGGGTTTTCTTAAATATTTCCAAATACTCCGAATTTAATTGGAAATCGATTTGAACGTTAAAATGATCTGGTGAATTAGTAGATATCATTAGTATATCACTCAAGTTCGGCAATAAATAGGGCGATAACGTTTCTTTGACTTCACCATTTTTCAATTTGATGGTAACTGGAACCTTGCATGGTTTGCGAGTATTTACATCTCGAACAATCAAGCATCGAGGTTCAACTGACAACGCCCAAAAATGCCTTAACGCCTGTAGGTGGACCTCGTATTCGCTGTTTTCATTTGGATAAATTGGATATAGCGAAACTAATAAGGAGGCAATTGCAAAATTTGATTTGCTAAAAGCATACTGACCACCCCCTAAAAACAAAAATCCTAAAGCCGTATTGATGGCCATGTAGTTTCCATAGCCCATGTCCTTATTAGTTTCTCCTTGTAGAATTCTTAGTCTTCTAAATGTTTCCAAGTCTCCACTTCCAGCCATTATAACAGATAAACTCAATGCAATTAGATCCTGAATATTATTTGCACAATGATACGCCATTCTTTGATCATAATTGTTGGCGGGAGCTACTGAAATAATCATCATTTTATCTAAGAAATATAGCAATGTATCACGAGCCTTCTTGTCGTGAGTTGAAGCATATTTAATAGCAATAGAAAGGCAAGCACCACCTAGAATATTGAAATATCCTAACTGGTCACTATCTAGGGATTCAATGTTATCAAGTGAATATTTCTCTAATAATGGTTTTGGGATCTCATTGTTGACCCATTCAATAGAATTTTCTATAGAATCCCACATGATGATATTCTTTGCAACACATCTTAATAGAAGCAAGTCAGGTCGGATGTAATCCAATAACTGCTCAGTATTTGGTACTTTCAATTTGTTGGCTACCGCAATATTTTCAGTCTTCATATATATAAAACCTAAAGCAATAATAGCTCCACAACACGATTTATCTAACTCTTGAATTGGCTGAAAATCTTTCATAGATATTGCTAGCACTAATAGCTTATCTATAACATGTGTATCGTTTAACCCTCTTAAGTCATTACCTTTACCCAAGTTCACAAATCCTAATGAAATTCCCGCTGCTAAGCGATATCCCTCATGAATTTGTTCAGTATCATTCTGAAATACTGAGCTGGTGATTTGCGAAAGTAGTATTTCACTCATCCGACGATGCTGACTTTCAAGATAAAGCAATCCAATTCCTATTAAACCTGCAGTTTGGACCATGATGGGAACATTCAAATCATTGGCACCCTGCGGTAATAATGCAACAGCATGAACGGATAAAACCTTTGTTAATTTGTTATCCATCGATCCCTTGATACTAGCAGCCATACCGATCAAAAGCCCTACACTTGTTAAAGGATGCTTTGGGCCTAAATAATTATAAATATGCCATTCTTCTAATTTTTTGAGATGCCCATTAAGGCCTAAACCTAACAAAAAACCAGCGTGTTGCGAATTTAGTTCTGGCGGTTTATTAAAAATTATCCAACTACCAGAAATCCCCTTTGATTCCTTACTGATACTTAGTCCCGAGGAAACACCATTATGAAAATACCCCCACTCCGACACATTTTCACTTATAGCTCCTTTAGACAAGATAATATTTGTCATGGTAGGTGCAATGAGAGTACTAAAACTGAATTTTGGAATTGGAAATTTCTCTGTCAATAAAGGCATTCTACCTGCGTAAAACAATGCAGCTCTACCCAAGGGTATAGTTAGAGTTCTTAGAGCTACAAGAGCTGCTAACTCTCTCTGCAAAATGAACATATCATACTCGCTAATATCTTCATCCGTTGTTAAAGTTGCTGATTGTGTCTTTGTTTGGTGAAGCAAGGTTGTAATCTCATAATACCGTCTATCATAGTCAAATATTAATTTCGTGATATTTATTCTATCTGCTTCAGATTGACCATCCCATGCAACCACAGATTCATTTTTGTCAAAAATATTAGCCAAGATATAATTAATATCTTTTGTGACTAGTTGTGTCGTCGAGCCTGAAAGTCCAGTATAATGAGCAGATGGAGTTTGAAATGCATCAGTATCTAAAAACATGCTCAAGTCCTTTCTTCCAACCAATTCTAGAGTTCTGCTAGTCCATTCAAAAGCAGGATTTTCTTGACAAATCAGGACAGCTTCTTTCAATGGAATATATATTCCAGGAGGATATGTTTCCAAGTCGTTCATAGTAATCCCATATTTACACATCATATCAATGACATGTGTAGGTTCGTAATGAGGTGATACAATTATTTCGAAGATTTTTAGGATATGAAATGTTCTTGGAGTTATCAATTCATCAACTGCATCGCTTTCTTCCACTAGTTGCGAAAAAAACAAATATGGAACAAGATTGTCACTGAACAAACTAGTCAACGATGCAAGTAGGTTTGGGGGTGATCTTAAAACACAAACCAGAAGGAACCTTGTGACATTTTCTATATTAGCCATATCAATCATATAATATTTATTCCAGGATTCAGGCCATCCCATCCATGTAGTCAATTGAGTCAAGAACATGCCTAAGATATTTAAATTCGATTGGCCTAAAATATCAAGTTTCATTTCTTCTCTTATCAAGTGTAATGAAATGACAACGTAAGGAATTAAATCGGAGAAGGTATAATTGAAGTGAGAAATATTATGCAAACGTTTTGCTTTAGGTAACATCCTTGTAATATCATTTGTTGTTTCTGATGGATAGTCATCCTGAAAGGGGTATATCAAACTTAGTAAAGTAATTACGAATGCATTCCAGTCATCTTTCTTTTCATCTAACAGAAGTGCTGAGCGCCATAAAACCCAAATTGTTTCATTGATCTTCGAACCAGAAAGGTATTTAAAACATTGTAAACACTTGAGTACTAATTCGTTTGACGGATCTAATAATAGTTTTAATATATATGCTTTGCCTGACTTCGATTGTAATGCTACATCTTCATTGTATGAAGACTGTAACAGTTTTATAGGAGGGAAATTTCCAGCCAAATCTATATTTAAAGTGACAACATCTATGAAAGGGTTAACCAAAGTAAGCAAATGCTCATCCTTCAAAACCACTAAATACCCTTCATGTTTGGAGTTATTAAGTGGAATACAATGCTCGCATTGAATTTTATAGCAAAATTGATATCTAGGAATATGGCTTGACAGTTGTTGAAATATATGAACTTGAGCTTCCTTAGTTGATTTATTCATCACCACTATTGCTTCCTGGTCTTCATAAGTCAAACCATAAACTTCAATTTGTGATTTATCAACATTTACCTTGAAAGAGTCTATTTTAGTTAAAATCATATCTTTTCGAAAAACTGCAAACTCTAAGGAGGAATATCCAGATTTTGTCTTGGACGAATCAGGAAAGCCAGGTTCTGAACCCATCCTAGCTATAGATGATACATCTGATAACAATGTGCTCGTTCTTTTCTTTTCCATATTCATAGAAATGACATTTTGTAGACTACCATTGAAATGGAGTTATTATTATGATTAGGGTCAAGATGCACACTCTCATCCTCAGGAATCCTTGAAGGGTTTGGGGTTGAAATCATACTCTGTTTTCTCTTCGTGAATTTTGATGAACTTGTGACTGGCTTTTTGTTTCCCCTAGTGGAAGATCGTATATGATATAATACTACAGTTTTCTCCAGAGTATTGAATGTAGCACATATGGTAGAGGTTTTGTTCAAACCCTTTGCTGGGAATGTCATCAACCTCTCATGGGGAGATATGACTGAAGTTGAGGATGAAGTTATTATCCTGAAGTCTCCAATTGGATCAACCAATGTGAGAAACTTTGCGGCGTGCAATTGTTGTGGATGTAGATTATCGATGCTAGATAATGATGGGACCGTTTGGTCCTTTTCTAGTATTATTCCAGATTCAAAAGGAAATGCACTTTTCAAGCTAAATGGAAAGCTCACGACGTACGATCTTCCATCAGGATAGTTAACGTAAGCTGATTTTCGAAGACATATTATTAAAGCATCGGTGGGATTTGTATCACACCCAGATCCACCACTATTGAATGATGTATACGCCGCCGCTATTATATCTTCATCATATTTTAATTTCTTAGTCACTGTAGATCCTCTTATAAGGATAACTTCTCTTTTGGATATCAATAGTTGTCGGTTATTTGGATATAAAACTGTCATATAGCCAATACTTGATGAATAAGGATGTTTGATATCAGATCTTAGATCAAACGCCGGCAACGTTAGTCCTTGGGCCATGTCACTTTGCATTCTAGTAGCTTTGACAAATTGACACGTAGGCTAGCGTTTTTACCTTAGTAAAGCAATATACGTTCGGTATACTCTTGAATATACTTAGCGCTAGCTTTTACATCAACTTTGTAAACACAAGATAAAATCGCACTCAGAAACTCTTACGATCAGACTACGCTTAGAAATAAAAATTTCAATATACATTCCTAACAGTTTAAGATATACCTATATACAATCAGCTTAAGTAGCCGAGATGATAAAACCTGAACTAGTAGATTACTCAACAATTCTGGTGACTAAACCAGTACCAACGGTCTTACCACCTTCTCTGATGTTGAAACGTTGGTTGACTTCAATTGGGGTCTTTCTAACTAATTCGATTTCCATTTCAATGTTGTCACCTGGCATGACCATTTGAGAGTGGTCAGCACCTTCTGGGAATCTTAAAGTACCGGTGACATCAGTGGTTCTAAGGAACAATTGTGGCTTGTAGTTTTCACCGAATGAGGAGTGACGACCACCTTCTTCCTTACTTAAAATGTACAAAGAAGCTAAGACCTTCTTGTGGGAAGTGACGGTACCTGGCTTAGCTAAAACCATACCACGGTTAACTTCGTCTCTCTTAACACCTCTTAATAAAATACCGGCATTGTCACCAGCCATAGCAGCATCTAATTCCTTCTTAAACATTTCAATACCAGTAACAGTGGCCTTGAAAGTCTTGTTGAAGTTACCGACAATTTCGATTTCTTCACCCTTCTTTAAAGTACCTCTTTCAACTCTACCGGTGACGACAGTACCTCTACCAGAAATAGAGAAGACATCTTCAACTGGTAACAAGAATGGTTGTTCCAAATCACGTTGTGGAGTTGGAATGTATTCATCAACATGGTCTAATAACTTTTCAATGGCTTGAACACCAATTTCTGGTTGTCTACCTTCTAAAGCACATAAAGCAGAACCCATAACAACTGGAGTGTTGTCACCATCAAAACCGTATTGTGATAATAATTCTCTCATTTCCATTTCGACTAATTCCAACATTTCTGGGTCATCAATAGTATCAACCTTGTTGACGAAAACAACTAAGTGTTGGACACCAACTTGTC